GGGGTTTTTTTTGGACTCTGATTCCAGGCCAATTCCTTGTGGTTTTTGAAGTGCTGAAGGGTATCACTAAGAAGTCATTAAAATACAGATCTGCTGCATAAAAGTAGTTTTCCAAGTCTTATATTCATGATTTTCAAATACTTTGTTGATTTTCTCTGTGTGTTACTCCTTTCATGCTTTTGTGAAGTTTGAGGTGCTTGAAAAATTTGCTGAGTCATTTGTGTATTAACTGAAAAATATTGCAGTTTCCATTGATGTAGCTACGCTTTATTGCATATTTACTGCATATTTTAGTGCCATTAGCAAATTGGAGAGTTATCCTTTAAGCCACAGTTTTAAAGATTTAATTGATTGGTTTTAGCTTTTACTCAAGTCTTTCAGTGCATACTCTGTAGATGCAAGGTAGTTTGCTTAGCTCTGTGGGGAGATCTAAAAATGTCTACTAAGGGAAGATAGATGGCTATAATATATAGTAGAAATGGGAGGAGAGGTACAGAAGTATTCGTAGCTTCTGCTTCTAGTTTATACTGTCAAAGCCAGTAGATTGATATTGATGATGATGATGATGATGATAGCTAACATTTATTGAGTACTGCTACATACCCAGCATTGTTCTAAGCATTTTATTTGTTTATTTATTTATTTATTTATTTTTCGAGATGGAGTCTCGCTCTGTTGCCCAGGCTGGAGTGCAGTGGTGCCATCTTGGCTCACTGAAGCCTCCATGTCCCAGGTTTAAGTGATTCTTCTGCCTCAGCCTCCCAAGTAGCTGGAGTTACAGGTGTGTACCACCACACCCGGCTAATTTTTTTGTATTTTTAGTAGAGATGGGGTTTCACCATGTTGGCCAGGCTGGTCTGGAACTCCTGGCGTCAGGTGATATACCCGTCTTGGCTTCCCAAAGTGCTGTGATTACAGGTGTGAGCCACTGCGCCTAGCCAGCATTTTATATGTATTGTTTCACTTTATTCTGACATGAATTTATGTAAGCCTCATTTTATACATGAGGAGACTGGGACATCTTGATGTTAAGTAACTTGTCCATGGCCATCCAAGCAGGAAGAATAGACCTGGGATTTGAACCTGGGGAGTCTTCTTTCCTCACCTGTGCTTCCCACCGAATTGTGCTGCCTCCTCATAGTAAATATGAGACCTTCTGTGCCCGGGTCCCTGCCTCGCTCTGCGTACGTCTTGTGCCACTCTCCTCTTCTCATTCACGCTGTCTTCCGGCCATATTGAACTTCCTAGAGTTCTTTGAAGAGGACGCTCTGATTTTTATTGCCATTGTGTCTTCACACTTGCTTTTTTGTCTTCCTGAAACACTTTTCTACTCCTGGTCTCTAAGACACCAGTCTCTCAGAAGCTTCCTCCCCAGGATAGAACTATTCTGTCTTCTTTATCTAGCTCACTTTTGTTTAAATGGATTTCAAGGATGGCATCTTTTAATATTTTTATCAGATAGCTCTTTTCAACTCCTCCCCAGACCTCCCTGCATGGATTTGATTTCCACACTGCTCCCCTAGCAGTCTACACTTACTTTACATTAGTTCTTTAGTATCAGATTGAATTTGAGACCAGGGTCTTAGTCTGTTATCTCAGCATATAGCCTGGTCACCTGTTTGGTTAATGAACGCTTAGAAGGTATGTAGAAATGTAAATTAAAATGCAGCTGAACTGAAAGTCCATTATTTGAAGAGCTTTCAAATGATCTTGTTATTTTGCAAAAACCATCAAGGAACTTACTTTACTCACAGTATCTCAAGATGAGTGACCACTTAATTAAATTACTTTTGAAGAGGCCAATTCAGTAATTCAAGACCCTTGACTAGTCTGTAATCTTATGTGAGAGAGAATTCTTAATTTTTTGACCCGAAGTTCTTTGTTTTCATTTTTTCCTCTTCCTACTGTACTATCCCAGGCCATTAGCGGTTCCCAAACTTTGCTCTTGAATGGAGTCTAAGAGATTCTCCCTGGGTGTACTGCTGCAAACCTAAGTCTTGCCCCATCTCTGGTATAAGTCAGTTTAATTGTGTAACTTATTTTTTTTGAGTCGAAGTCTTACTCTGTCACCTAGGCAGGAGTGCAGTGGTGTGATCTTAGCTCAGTGGCGGATCCCGGCTCAGTGGTGCAATCTTAGCTCACTGCAACCTCTACCTCCTGTGTTTAAGTGATTCTCCTGCCCTCAGCCTCTTGAGTAGCTGGGATTACAGGCACCTACCACTGCCCAGCAAATTTTTGTATTTTTAGTAGAGACGGGATTTTGCCTTGTTGGCCAGGCTGGTCTCAAACTCCTGAACTCAGGTTATCCATCCTCCTCCGCCTTCCAGGGTGCTGGGATTATAGGCATGAGCCACTGCACTCAGCGTGTTTGTGGAACTTCTGTCTGGGAGTCTAAAAAGAGCTCTAACATGTCAAGAATCTTCATCCAGTTCTGCTACATTTTCTCTGTCTAACCATAGTCTGTAAAGTTGGAAACCTTTGTTTCTTTGATTCCTTTATTGCTTCCTCACCAAGTATGGTCCGCTTTGACTCTACCATGTCTCTTTAATGCAGCCGAGTTTCTCTGTCTTCCCTGTTGTGACTGTAGACCATGCTGGCGTCACGTCTTGCCTGTACACTGCAACAACTTATCTTCCTGTACCCATTATAGATCCCCTCTAGTCTTTCTTCAGACAAGCAAGAATCATCTTCTTATATCTCAAATGGATTATTTGTTTACAGGGTTGTGGGAGGGGTGGGAGGCAGTTGAGTGTGGTTATAAAAGGTTAACATGAGAGACCCTTGTAGTGATGACACTGTTCTGTATCTTGTGTCAGGGGAAACTGGACAAATGATGGTACACTGGGATTATTTCTTACAACTGCATATGAGTATACTTTTATCTCAAAATGTCAGTGAAAAAGACTACTATCCTGTTTGCAAGTTTTCAGTGCTTTCTTCTTCCTCTGAGAATAAAGACTAAAGTCCTTCGTGTGATCTGTGATCTGCATCATCTGGCTTACCTCTCCAGCCTTGTTTATTTGATACCAGTTTCTTACTTGTCTGTCCTGCAGACACACTGACCTTCTTTCACTCTCTTTAACATGCTGGGTTCTTCTCACAGCTTTCCTTTTGCCCAAGATGTTAGGATGTCACAAGATACCCAGGATTTTTTTTTTTTTTTAATAGCAACCCTAATTTGTATGCAGACATTTTATTTATATGGTTCTTAATTCATATCTTTTACAGGATTCCCTGGGGCAGGGTCTGTGTCTTTATCCCCAGCACACAGTACATGTAAGACATGAAAGACACTGTTTTTCTCTCTAAGCCTTCGTTGTATTATTAGCATTTCAGAAGCACTCTGAATATACAGGCCGGAGAGTAAGGCCCTAATCCAGAAATCTAACTTATGCTTTCCTTTCAGACCATGAGTTTGAATTTCTCTCCTATTGAGAGAGATGATACCATATCTAAAACCAAACTCTTTCAGGTCACGGGAGCATTTATTGGTATTAGAGGAGGGACAGGGTATGATTGAGCAAGGTTAGTACTCTTATCCTGATGTCTGAATCTACCAAAGAGCCACCTCAGGCTCTGGCTTACTGCTTTCTGGGAGAGGGCCAGCTTTGGATATTTGAGTATGTGGAGTTAATTTGGAGCTTAAATTCATCGGCCTTCTGAAGGGTCATGGCTCTTTTCATTGATGTGACAGAATCCTGTGTTGCCATAACGGTCTTGGCCTACCAAAAGTATTGTCTCAGTTGTATGAATGTGGGTGTATGACTTGGAGACTAGGAATTGCCACTGTTCTTAGTTGTGGACAATAGAATCTACTCCAGGTAGTTTAAATAGTAGGAGGTATTGGTTAGCATTTACAATTTTTGCATATAGAATTTCTGGAAAGACCAGACAACTGATCTTGGAATCTAACAGAGGTGGAAGCAGTGCATTCAGAAGAAATGCTCAGTGACACTGAAGGACTGTTTGGGCAGAGGGCCATGTCTGCTGCTGCCCGCCGTGAAGTTAGAGACCAGACATCAGAACCATTGGAACTTCTGCTGAGTTGCTGTGAAAAAACCATATGTCTTCCTGATCGACTAAGTTTGACATGAGAGCTGCGTGGTTCCAGATTACAGGGTGCCACTTCAGCCTCTCAAGTCTTGCACAGGTGTACCTACTTGGTAGAAACTATGTCACATGTGAGACCTTAGTTGTAAGGGAATCCAAGAAATACAGTTTTTTAGCTCTCCAGTCTAATATGTAAGAAAGTGTGCTAGAACCTGATGCTGTGTGAGCTAGTCTTCCTTGTCTGTTGTAGAAAATTAAAAGTTGACAGGCCTCCTTTGCCAGTGAATGTTTTACTTGGATTTAGTGCAAATGATTGAGCTTGGTACTACCTGTTAGGAATTTAACATGGAAATATATAACATGAAACAAAGTCATGATGAATATATAACATGAAACAAGGTCATGAAGTTCCTTTAGATTTTCAAGTGGTGGATTTTGCCTATGCTGAGTTATGTAATTTATAGATCTATGTGGTTTTGCATAATACCCATACATTTGCATACTCATTTGTGGAATGCTGTTATTCTGATCAACAAATGTGGACTATCTCATACTAAGGTGAGACCTAGTCATACAACAAGCCTGAAACAGTCAGATTAGGGAGCTCACAGACTTGATGTGGCCAGTGTTTTTCAGTAGAAGTATGCGTTAAAGTCAACTTGTTAACAAATGTTAAGTGTGGCACTCCAAATTTACATGTGCAGTATCTGCCACTTCCACCAGCATGAAGTTCCCAAAGGGGGAAGGTATTCAGAGAGTCCAGGAATTTGCTTTTTTAGCACACTTTCATGTCGATTCTTAAGGATTCTTCCTTGGTGAAGAACCACTGATTCAGTGGGTCAGTATTAACCATTTTGTTTCGTTTTCGTTGAAAACTTTGGACTGTGTTTAAATTTGCAGCCATTATTTCTTACGTTAAAAAGTTTTGAAAATGGATGCTTCTTTTACAGGGGCAGAGTTACCAGGGCAGGTTATCTCCATGGCAGCTTCTACTCTGGCAAACTTGGCCATCTCTATCACAGGGTATGAATCAAGCAGTGAAGACCAGCCCTCCACTCAGCCTGCAGGTGACTGATGTTCTGGTGACATTCAAGGTTATTCTGGAAAATAAAATGTCAATAGAATGTAAAATTTAGGAAACTAGCATCACAAAATGCTGCTTCTGCTGATCCTTCATGTATTCTTTTTGGTTCCTGTTTTTATACCCTTTTCCCTCTCATCTTTGTACTCATATATCACTTTTTAAATACATTTCATTATTTACCTTCTTGAATGTCTTATCTTGGTTCTTTGTTCGTTCCTTTTTAAAAAAGGCTTTTCTTATTTTTCTTTTGTTCTTCATTGCTTTTTCTTTATTTTCCTTTTCTCTGTCTCCATTTACCTTTCCCACATTTCCTCCCACTTTATGCATATCTTATCTTGACTTCTTACTTTCCATTTCTTTCTTCTACAACTGTCAGTTCTCCTCCATGATTTTATTTTGCTCTGTCTCTTCCTCTTGCTTTTTCTTTTGTTCCCTTTCCCCAACCCTTTTTTTCGGGAGGACTTTTATTTTCTATCTTGCAGTCATCCATTTCTCTGGCATTCTTTCTCTAAAAGTTTGCATGCTTCATGTGTTAATATATTGACCCCTAAAACAGACCTCCCTGGTTGTTTTGGATTCATTGTCCCATGTGGCCTGGCTTTGGGAGTTGTAAGCTCCAGAGGAATCCAGTATTTAGATTTGATTTATACCAGCTGTAGAGTCATGCTGTACTCTTGCAGAGTTCAGGAATGTAAAAGGCCACCTCAGTCTGTGCTGAGAGGTCCATTAGTGCCAGAGGTATTTGGAGTTAGGGAATATTTAGAGTGAATTCTCCTTGAAGAACTGACTTTAGAAATGTCAGCTAAGAGAAAGGAATTTGCTATAGTAGGAACACTTTATTTTCTTGCATATGGAATCATGTTTCCAAAGTGGAGAGGAAATGAGGTTTTGGTTTTGGACTTACTCTTCCAAGTATCTGTCACACCTACCAACATGAAATTTCCAAATTAGACCGATACTCAGAGCAAAGTCAAACAAAAGCATCTGTTAACTAGCTTGGGCTTTAGCCCTGAAGTTAAGGGTGGAATGTTGGTCCTAATGAGGTGAGCTGACTTACTGGGGTGCAAGTGATCTCAGTAGTAAAAATTCACTCATAGCTGAATATTTAACATTAAAAACCCTAAGGAAATTATGATATAGCACTTAGTAGGCTACTGTGTGGTATGAAATTTGCTTATGAAAATTATTAAACCCCAGGGAAGTCATTCATTCAAATACGTAGTGAGCACCTCCTATATATCAGATACTGTTGTATGTGCCAGGAATTCAGTGGAGGGAGAACAAAACAGACAAGGTCTTTGCTCTGGCAGAGCTGACTTTCAGCTGAAGAGAAAGAATGAGAAGGGATAAGTGGAACATGCTACAACTATGTAAAAGACCATGGGGAAAATGTGAGGTTCTGATTATGAGAGTTCTTATTTCTTTTCTTTTTTCTAGGCTTTCTGACGTATGATACTTTTGTAATTAGCAGTCTACAGGTTCAGCCAGATCTGTATGATGACATGCTTTGTTATTAACATTTTTTTTCTAATGGAAGGCAAAATGCAATTTTTAGGATCTTAATAATTTTCATCATTAGGTATATATAGATTAATACTACTTTAAGAGTTGTACGATTTCTGATGTATATAGTATATCTTATAAAAACTAGGAGATAGAAATAATAGCATCGTATAGTAAAATGTAGCATAATAGTTGCATTGTTAGAAAACAGTGCCTCATATGAAATAATCCAGTATGGTTTCCTTTATTTGAAAATCGTTACCCCAGAAATCTGTCATTGTTTTTGTATCTCATTCATTTTTTATGTCTTCTATCTGTTTGAAAGCCCTGGGTTCTTGTAAGACTAATTGGTTCCATTTTAGATGACATAACACTGAAATGCTTTCTTGTGTCAGAAATACATATAAATGCATCTAATCGAAAGTTCTATTTTGAGGGATTTTTAAATATAGAAATTCTAGTATATGTTAGCAGTTGTTTCTTTAAATAGTTTGAATAACTTTTATGGGATAATTATAATTCTCAGCTACTTTGTCATGTATTTTGTTTTAATGACTCCCAGTTCTATCACCAACTAACTTATTCTTCGTAGGTTAAGCACCGTTGGCATTGTAATTCTCCACACGTTTTTCAGTGCATATGGAAACATAGATTCAAATATTTTTGTGTTTTTTGACCCAGTATAATCATACTATATCAGCACATTTTGAAGGCCTGAAACAGGCTGGCCTAACAAGTGGCTCTGTATTCCTGTTTCCTCATGTGGACTAATACGGTGTGTGGTGTTTTTCTTTCCCTTTTCAGAAGCAGTGGACAGGGAAGAATCCCCTCCAACATTATCTGCCTCCCCTTCACCCTCCTCCCCTTCACCCACTTCCCCTTCACCCACTCTGGGCAGACGAAGGCCCGAAATAGGAACGTTTCTTAGAAAGAAGAAAACTAGTGACATCTACTTCGTGTCTCTGGTCTGGGCCATTGTCGTCGTGCAGATCTGGCTGAACCTGTGGATTGTGCAGTTGCTGCCGGTGCCGATTGCAGGTTGTTACCTGGTTAAGTATGATCTTGTCTTGTCTTTGAAGATTGTTTTCTTCTTTTTTTTACTTTGGATTTTAATATTTGAGTTAAATTTACTGTCTTGCAAAGTAAAACAATCTTATGTTGCATTTAAATAGTATACAAACACCATTTTGTTAATGTATTATGTTGATACATCTTTAATATTTTACTTTTAAGCTCAAAAATGTCTTTAGCCTCTTAAAATTTCATGTATTTGAGATTAGTAGCTCCATGTAGAGATTTGACTGTTTAGCCATCCATGATTCTATGGAGAAGAATGTTAACGACCATCTGTGTTTTGAAATTTGAAGATCAAATGATTTTTTTTTTTTTTTTGCGATGGAGTCTTGCTCTGTTGCCCGGGCTGGATTGCAGTGGCAGGATCTTGGCTCACTGCAACCTCCACCTCCTGGGTTCAAGCAGTTCTCCTGCTTCAGCCTCCTGAGTTGCTGGGACTACACGGTTGTGCCACCACACCTGGCTAATTTGTATTTTTAGTGGAGACGGGGTTTCACTATGTTGGCCAGGCTGGTCTCAAATCCTGAAGTCATCTGCCCACCTCTGCCCCCCAAAGTGCTAGGATTACAGGAGTGAGCCACCGTGCCCAGCTGAGATCGAATGATTTTTGAAAACTACTCTTAGGGAAGCATATTTTATATTGCCTTTTTAATTCAGAGGAAATGTAGGCTTTGAGAAATATATGGATGCAAAGTCTTGCAATTTGGCAGAGAAATTGAATTACATGTATATATGTATGTATTATATGTATTACATCAAAATGGAATCATAGTTTTCCGTAATCTATTATTTCCATATCTTAATGCTGTGGTAATTTGAGGCCCACCACTATTTTGATTCTCTTTAAAACTGTCTTTCTTCTAAGAATAGAAAAAGTAAGGAAGCCTTTTCTCTGACAGATGTGTTGTAGAAACATTCTTACCTAATACTTTTCCTGATTACTGGTCTTTCTTCTTATGGCAGCCATATTCTGCGCCAAATTTATTATGTCCTTAGTGGCTGCTGTGGATTTTGCTATCCAGGTACCTCCTGCATTGATTACTCCTCATTTCCTATGTCAAGGTTTTTCACTGTTGATTAAAATTTAATCTGATTTTTGGAAGCTGTTCTCCACCATAGTTTAGAAGTCTAAATTTATTGTCCCATTTACCTTCTAGATGATTAGTTCATTTTTATTTTTCCTCACTACATTGGATAGTTAATTAAATAGGTTTTTTGTTTTTTTTTTTTGAGATGGAGTTTTGCTCTTGTTACACAGTCTGGAGCGCAATGGTGCGATCTCGGCTCACTGCAACCTCCGCCTCCTGAGTTCAGATAATTCTCCTGCCTCAGCCTCCCGAGTAGCTGGGATTGCAGGCACGCGCCACCATGCGCAGCTAATGTTTTGTATTTTTAGTAGAGACGGGGTTTCACCATGTTGACCAGGATAGTCTCGATCTCTTGACCTCGTGATCCACCCGCCTTGGCCTCCCAAAGTGCTGGGATTACAGGCTTGAGCCATCGCGCCCGGCCCTGGATATTTTTTTTTAAACACTTATTATGACCAGAGCATGCTATAGTGGTGCATGTCCTCAGGGAGTATACAATATAAATAATATAAATGGTTGAAGTTTGTATCTTGTTTTTTTTTTTTTTTTTTTTTTTGGGAGACAGGGTGTTACTTTATCATCCAGGCTGGAGTGCAGTGGCACAAACATGGCCAACTGATGCCTCGATCTCCCAGGCTCACTCAAGCAATCCTCCCACCTCAGCTTCCAAAGTGCTGGGATTGTAGGTGTGAGCCACTGTGCCTGGCCTGTATCTGCTCCTTGTTTCCTCAAACAGAACTTCTGTTAGGCAGTTGGAACAAGATACAGTTTTAATTAAGCAAGTCACAGAGCAGATTCCATGGTCATGCTTTCGGTTAAACTGAGTAAAACAGTTTAAATTGCTCTACTGGCTTGTTCCATACTTTTTTGATGATTTCAATTTTTGGTGATTTTCCAGGTGATTTCATTATGATGGAAAACGATGTGAAATGGTGTTGCAACTCTCTTTTCCTTTAAGTTTGTTAGCAGGAATTTCATTTCTTTTAGTCATAGCTTAACCTGGTCATCATAGGAATTTGACATGATCCTGGGAGAGGAGGCTGTGAATAAGGTGGCCCCTAAAGGCTTTTCTACAGCTTGTAATTACCCTGGACTTACTGAAACTATAGAATTTCTTCTAGGGCCTTTCTAGGGATTTAAAAATGGTAAGGAAGGAATTGTTGAACTGGTGTGTAACACTGAACTCATGGTTCAATATAGCAAATGGTGTACCTTTAGGTTGTAAGGCCAGAGCTAAGAATAGAAATATCTAGAGGCAGGCAAATTATATATGATTGAGATCCAGGGTCCAAACTTCAACGCAAGACTCACAGTTGAGTAACACTTACTTCTGGCCCTACCACCTTCTTAGTTGGCTTCTAACAGGAAGCTTGACTTCTGCTTGAAGGGCCACTGCACTGCCCAGCTCCAGGAGGAGACAGTGTGATCTGAGAGTGGTCCCCACTGAAGTTGCAGTGCACAGCCTTGGGCCGTTTGTAGCAGCCCTGCTAGTACTCAACGTACGGATTCCCCATTTGATGCTGCTCTCAACCTCTGAACCCTGGCATCTGTTCAGATGTTGAGATCAGCATCGAATGGGGAATCAGGAACAATACCCTGCATTGGTACAAAATCATGATGCATATGGAATACCTTATAATTTTCTAGTCACTAAATAACAAACACCTAAGGAAAACAACATTTGATAAGAGCATCTGTAAAAGCCAAGGAGATGAGGAAGTGTCAGTTGTTTATATTCTTTACTTAGGAAGGCGGATTGTCTTGGGGGCCGGAATTGTAGTCACTGAAATCTTCACGGTAAGAGTATCTTATGTTTATATGGGCTGTAAAATAATTCCTGACTCCTTCAGGGTTTTAGACTTTGCGAAGAAGGTAATATATATAGACAGGTGAGGTGGTTTGAAAAGTTACTTGGTCTAATTCCATCTCTTTGGCATACTTTGAATCCCACCTTACTTTTTAACACTGATCTTTATTTTAATACTAGCTTTGCTGTTTTAGAAAGTCCATGTGAAATTAAGGAAACTTTTCATGTTACAACTTTTTAATCTACATTTTATTTATGTGTGTATTTTTTTTTAAATCTTCTTTTAGTCTGGATACTGAAAAAGCTTGTCATTCACTTTGGAGTCGTGGACTTCCTGGAGAAACACTACCATGTGTGGTGGGGTATTATCGAAAGCTTCCTGAAGGAGCGGCAGGGAGCTCTCGCACCTTGGCCCATTGTTGGGCTTGGAAAATTCTTGTTAAAAGTTGATAGCAAGGTATTGTATTTTAAGGACTTGGGCTGTCTTAACGGAGTTAATGTATTTCATGGTTTGAAATCTTCCATTCCGTGGTGTTTATATTATAATTGTTGATAACACATTTAATATCTAATTCTATGATGAAAGTTTTAATGTTTAGAATTATGGTTTACATAAGGATAAGATGGGTTTACTTTAAATGAGGCTTGTGTAAGTATTTTTTCCTCATAAAAGTGGGAGAAATGGATCTTATGATTTAGATATTATGATTTAATTCCCTCATAATATTAGGACTAAATTGAAATCCAAAGAGGTTAAGTGATTTGCCTAAAATTATGTAGCTAGGTAGTGGCTCAGTTTATTGAATATTTTTGTGATAATTCCCATGTGTCAGATACTGTATTAAGTCCTACAGAAAATCAGATGAGTCATAGAAAACCAGATACAGAAGCCTTGTATATTGGGGAAAGACAGCAATTCATGAATATTCAGAGATGGTGGTTAGATTTGGAGCCTCAGTGGTTAAAGAGCGTGGAGTATGAATCTGTAAAGTTCCTTAACCTTTCTGGGCCTTGTTTCCATACTATTAAAATGGGTACAGTAGCATCTACCTCATAGAATGGTGGTAAGGATTAAATGAGGTAATACATGTACAGTCCCTAGATCAATGCTTGGTAAGCTCTGTGTAAGTGTTAGGAATTTGTGTATGAAAATGTGTATGGGATACAGTGGCAGCACTGAGTAGGAAATGACTCACTGTTGATAGAGTCATGAGAAAGGGAAGGAGAGCAGAGGCAGTGATACTGGAGTAAGTTTGAAGCATGGGCGGGAGTTTCTTAGGTAGACATGGCCAGAAGGGCAAGCAGATGGAGCAGTGCAAAGGCGCGAAGACTCTAAGCCTACGAGCATGCCGGGGGGTTTTATATATTTTTAGTTGTTGGATTCCCAACAAAGGTGCGGTTATCATCATTTCAGTCGTTGTATATCTTAAAGGAATACTACATTCTCTTGATTTTAAAACTTTGATGTGTTACAGTTTTTCCACCCCTAGTTTTTCCTTTGTCTGGGACAGTTTCCTTCTCATGCTTTCCTTTTCATTTCTTTTCATACTATGATTGCATTCTCTAATGATATTCCACTGTTCTTATCTTTCTTTCTCACCTTATCCCCTATCCTCAAGCTCTGGCACTGGCTAAATAAGAAGGTAAATGAACACCCAGATGTTGATTTTTACCATTGAATTCTGTAACAGCCCCCGTATTGCCTTTCTCACTCTGTGTTTCTGTCCAGGTGTCAAACTAAGTTTCTGTTTTCAAAGTTTTAATTATAAGCTATGGAAGGTCATGAAGCATGAACACTATCACAGTGTAATATGCTGAAAACTCAGCAAAGGCAGCGTAGGATATGGATGGTATCTTCTTGCTCAAGTGTTTGTAAGAAGTTCTGTCTCATAGTCCTTTTCTCTACTGTAAATGATTTTCATTCCTTTAAGTTCTGTAGATGTGGCTCAGCCTGATATTCTAGTCTCCTTTGATTTGTGAAAGCACATTAGGCAATGGTTGTCGTAAGGGTAATAGAGAACTCTCTATATGCTACTTCTTAAAATAAATGGCACAGGAAGTTTTTAAAAAGACAACTCTGAAATATTTGTATGGTTTCATTGGCTGATAATTTTATATATTATCTTTTTTTAAATAACTAGTATTTCAAGATTTATTTTTAACTTAAAACAGATTGTAGTCATCGCCTGTGACATCGAATTTTGTGTTTCCTCCAAGGTATGAGGTTGTGTTTATGGTAAATGCTTCACATGATTGGCATGGAATTATAATAGGTATACTTTTAATAAATTTAAGAAAGGCTAATCCAGACATATTAGGAATGCTGAACCTTGACATATAGTCCACATATTGTAATGCTCAAATTAATTGTAATGAATCAAATTACCAGGCATGGTGGCACACACTTGTAGTCCTAACTACCCAGTAGGCTAAGGCAGGAGGATTGTTTGAACCCAGGAATTCAAGGTTGTAGTGAGCAGTGATTGCACGTTGCATTCCAGCCTGGGTGACAGCAAGACCCTGTTTCCTTAAAAAAAAAAAAAAGTAATAGTAATTTCAGTGAATCTCTAGGACAGATAGCAAGCGATGACATCATTTATATATGTTGTATTTAAACATAATAAAACTATATACCTTAGTGTTCCTTGGAAATGTTATATCAGGCCTTAAGAAAGATGTGGTGGTACTTGAAAATAGATCAAAATGAGACTTGAATGGGATTAGGATTTTATTTTTTTCTGTTGAAATGGAGGAGAGGGGAGACAATGCCTAACGTTTTGAACGTCGGTTGAAAAGAAGCCTTGTGTAAAATAAGCACCCCCACACTCTCACTTGGCTGTTATAGCTCAATTCCCTATAAAACTAGTATGGGCAAATGAGTTCAATCCTGGCAAATGATGTACAAATATAAGTCACGTTTTAAAATTTTGATCAAAGAAGGTGGTTTCTAAAAATGTTTTGTTTTAATTGTTTTTTAGAGACGGTCTTGCTCTGTTGCTCATGCTGGAGTGCAGTGGCACGATAATAGCTCACTGCAACTGTGAACTCCTGGGCTCAAGCTATCAAAGTAGATGGTTTTGTACTTTTCTCCAATTTGTGTTATATTGAAATGAAATTGCCTTCAAGAGATGGGGGAAAGGAGAACTAAATTCATTGGATTTAATTTGATTTAACTTTGGTGGTCTAAATGAATTAGATTACCTAATTTATGAACCTAATTCATAACTGAATCATTGAGTTAGTTTTAAAGTATCTCTAAAATCAAGTAACTTTTTTAATTTCTTTGATGATTCCATGTAACATAATAAAGCATTGGTGTAAAGTTAGCGTAACTCTTTGAGATTTTGAGTGGGTGTATTTTAAGAAAGGAAATTCGTACGTTGAGAACTATTTTATTACATTACATCTCAAAGTCAGAAAATTGCAGCACTGGGTAATTTTGTTATGTAAAAATTTCAAGTGGAGTGAATTAGGAAGCCAATTCAAGAGAAGAGAGGGTGAGAAAGCACACATCATGGTTAATTGCAGTGTAACCTATTTCTCAAAAGAGTTAATTGTTTTTTTTTCTTTTCTTGCCTTTTTAAAAAATCTGAGACAGGATCTTGCTCTGTCCACATATTGTAATGTTTATTTTTAACTTAAAACAGATTGTAGGCTGGAGTGCAGTCACGTGATCTTAGCTACCTACAACATCCACCTCCCAGGCTGAAGCAATCCTCTCAACTCAGCCTCACAGGTGTGCACCACCATGCCTGTTTTTTGTTGTTGTTTTTGTATTTTTAGTAGAGATGGGGTTTTGCTATGTTGCCCAGGCTGGTCTTGAACTCCTGAGCTCAAGTGATCAGCCCTTCTCAGCCTCCCAAAGTGTTATGATTGCGTATGTGAGCCACTGTGCCTGACCTTGTTTTATTTCTTAGTATTGATTATTTGCACCCAAGTGGAATTTTGTTTAAAAACAAAGCAAAACGAAAATTTATAGGCCCAGAATAATGTGAGAGAAGAAAAACTCAGTAGTGGAATACTTTCTTAATAGCTTGATAAATAAGGCCAGTTAGTGTAGAAGTTTTAGAGTGTCTTTTGGTGTAACTATAAATGTACTGACATCTCTAAATTTAAAAAATGCATGCCCTTCATTCACATTTGAAACATTCAGATTGCCATTTTAAAATTATTTCTCTTCTCTTTTAGAAAAATAAGCCTTAAAAATTAAAGTCACTTCTCAGTCTTTCAGCATAGAAACATTGGGGAAATTTAGAGACTTTTTGCAATTTCCATGTAAAGGCAGGTGGTTTTGTTTCCTTCGCCGGAAGCAGAACATGGAACAGGATCAGCCTGGTGAGATAGCACCTTTGGCCTTTGGTACCCTTCTCCATTGCTTCCTCTCTTTGTGTTTCTCTTTGCTGTTTCTTTGTGAGTCTTGTTCTATGCAGTCTTTCAAGGAGTTGGTTCTTCTTTTCCTCTGTCCAAGTTTTTTATCGTCTTTGGTTTTTTTCCTCTTTTGATCCTCAGTTTTATGTACCAATTCCCCTTGCACACATTTTTTTTTTTCTCTTGAACTTCTCTGTTTCCTTTTATTCTTTAATAAGTCTTAGTCTCTGTTTCTCCTTCCCACTCTTTCCTCTCTCACCTTCTCCCTTCTTGTTCTGTTCTCAGCTAACTTAACTAGCCACATGTGACAAAAACAACAACTTCTTAGTTTCTTTTTTGAGCATCTTAAATAATTTTGTTAATTTTAAATTTTAGTGAAACATCCAACCTTCACTGTCATCCCTTGGATATGCATTTTTATTTAGGTGAATCTGAATTCTTTTCAACCTTTATGGCTTGTGATAGAAAAATTTTACCCTAACTGAAAACTAAAAAATTTGATATTATAATGTCAATGTACATAATATATTTTTGAATATTCTATGTTTTACATGTTAAAAATACTCAAACATGTTTCTAAATAGAGTATTATTTACATTTAAAAATATATTTCAGGATGTGACTTTTCTGATTAAAAATATAGAGGCTCCAACATTATTTTCAGAAATTGTAATTTGTGAATATAGATCTAGTCTTAATTCTGAAGTTATTTATGCTTGCTTATTCAAATGCATAGTAATTAAATACTTAACCACAGCACTTAGATTTTGGAGATATAAAGAGGAGTGATACAAACCTAGCTCTTTCCTCGGGAAGCTGCCTCGGTAACTAGTTTTTCATTTGGTTTCTGATTGTGAAAGTTTTCAGTTTCACTGATTTTAGAATTTAACTTCAAAATATGACATCTGACCTTCCATATCTTAGAAACCTGTTATTCCCTTTTTTTTTTTTCCAGTCTCTGCATTGTGTTTGATGCTTTGGTAGCATGCACTGAAAATTAACTCTTCTGTTTGAAGCTGTAATTGTCAAGATTAAAGATTAACTTTTCATCTTTGAGTTCACTTTAGCATCCATCTCTTAGTGACAGTGTCCTTGATGAAAAACAGATAAGGTGGGGGGCGGGGGAACACAAGCTTACAAACATTGAGTGAAAGTAAATGCTGCAGAAGTCATGTTTTTTTAACCAACATTCTTTATTTTTGGATATTTAATTCACCATTTGGAGAGCATAAATCAGATTTAAATTAATAACTTATTTAGCAATGCTATTGTTCATGCTGGGGTTCAGGGGTGCACTGTGGTGTTTCAGCAGTTATTCATCTAGTTAAAAGTAGTTTTGAAATGTTAGGTGGTAGCTTTGCATGACAGGCATTCTAGCAATCAAGTATGTATTCTGAAAACACAAGTTGTTTAAAATGTAGGATTATTTGTGGTTGTGAAAGATGAGGGAAGTTATAGCAAGACAGAATGTCAGCATTTAGGGAAAGCACAATTTTAATTATTGATTAAGGAACAGCTACTACATTGACTTTTAAATTTGTATCAATTATAATCATGTCATAAAGCTTATGTTTTCAAAAGAATAGAAACTTCAAGTAGAACATCGGATTTTAAAAAGCATTTTATTATGTATTATGAAACATTTCAAACATAAAAAGATGTAAAGATTATGCATTTATCTACCAACGACTGCCCGATTAGTAAAATAAATTAACCTGAAGCCTGTTTTGTGCTCTTCCTTGATTGTGCATTCACCTTACAACCCCTTGGTCCTCGGGCAACCGTTATTTTTAATTTGTTATTTATCATTGCCTTAACATTAGATTTTTAAAGTTACTGCCTTTGTAATTATAATGATATCAGATGGAAAAAGTATTTTGAATGCAGTTCCTCCTTTAATTTGCTCCAATTTTATTTGCATTTTTAAGGCCATGCCTTTATTATAAGAGGCATACTTTTGCTAAAGTCATGTATATTTGCTAAACTCTTGGTACAGCTTCATGAGATTTTTGGTCAGCTTGTTAATATTTTGTTTAGAATACTTAGACCAGGTTATAAATTACAATTTGAAACGTAGATAACCTACAGTTTGAGAATTCGAACATAGATATAGGTTATGTTGAAATCAACTGTCTTTTTCTTAGCTATGACAGTAATAAACTATGTAACAACAGCAGTGAAGAGTATTGTAAAGTTTCTAAAGTTGCTTACAGCTTTTATTGCTTTAATTATTATGCCATAGTTTGCTTTGCCATGCTGAAGATCCTGTTTTGTTTTTATGATAATTGAGTGTATATATTTTTAAAGTACTTTAAAGATAAGTAATTCTCTTTTTCATTTTTATGCAGATGATCATCTGGTTGGAGAAGATGTTAGATAAAATAATTAGCATTTTCATCATATTTTTGTTAGTGATAGGAACTCTTCTTTTAGCCCTACTCCTGACTGCAAAGGTAGAGTATAACAATTACTGTTCTCCTTAATAAACCCTTAATTGTTACAATCATAGTGTGGATAAGATGCTAATAGAAGCAGCATGGAAAATGTTGACATACAAGTATGTACAATAGCTAAAGCATATATGATTTGTGTGTTACTAATTTTGCCATGAATTTGCCTAGTGTGTTTCCTTTTCAGACCTCTTTTACATGCATTTTTATTTTATCATCAAAACCCTCGGGAGTAAATACAAATGAAAAAAGTAAGATAATGAAGAACAACCCGCTTTAAAAAAAATTAATAGGAGAATTAGGATCTGGTGTCACGAATCCTAATCTAGTTAGTACTCTTCACTAGATCAGAATTTGCTGATTAGCACCTTCTTTCCTTGTCTCATTGATTCTTCTGCTGATATATACCATAGCACCTTGATTTCTCACTTTCCAGATCTTTCCAGCTTACATTTCCTCTTCCCATTTTAATCTCATCAATGAAAATTATTCTGTAAAGCACACCTAAAATGTTATCTTTATAGTGAAATCTCTCACTATTTTTTTTTAAGGGTTATCAAGTCTTACAAGTTTTTTCCCCCCACTTTTATGGTACATTTCAGTTTTTATTTTATCTGAATTGTATTGAACTCCACAACCCAGATTTTGGTATGTTGCTTCAAGGAATTGGTAAAGCTTATGTGAAACATGGATACAAATTTTTTTAAACCTTTAGTCTCATAGAGACATGTTAGTAAATATAATTGTTAGATAATCTAATTAACCAATTTGCTAAAGGATTGCATTATTTCTTAAGTGGCATCTCCGCTTGGAAGTCCTATTCTTAGTCTCAGCTTCAGTACACCCTCAAACTGTCTTCTCATTTGCTTCTAAAAAACCTCCTCTTCTAGTACTTCTGTTTCAGTCTCTGTATAGTTCCTATCTGTTCTTTGGGTATTAATTATATATAGTCACTTACATATACTCTGCAGACTTACTTAGAGGTATTGTTTTTGTCGTATTTTGCCTCAACCTGCTACTGTGCAGTCTTTCGTTCTAGTTCTTTCATTAGAGAAAGGTTTCATTGGTGTGGTCTTTCATTTTCCTTTCTCCTCTCTCCTACACTTCCTTTTTTTTTTTTTTTAAGACAGGGTTTCACTATGTTGGCCAGGTTGGTCTTGAACTCTTGACCTCAGGTGATCCGCCAGCCTCGGCTTCCCAAAGTGCTGAGATTACAGGCGTGAACCACCACACCCGACCAATAAATTGGTGATTTTTTTTTTTTTTTAAATGGGCTTTCACCACGTTGGTCAGGCTGGTCTTGAATTTCCAACCTCAGGTGATCTGCCTGCCTTGGCCTCCAAAGTGCTTGGATTACAGGCGTGAGCCACCACGCCCTGCCTTCTCCTGTACTTCTATTCTACTTTTCCTGCTTTGTCTCTTTGCATAGCGCCTTTTGCCTGGCCATGTCAGTTTTATCTTTTAAGTCCTTTTTCTTTGTTCATCCGCCTGCTTCAGTAAGCTTTTGTTTCTCTGAACTTTGATAATAAATATTACTGAACCATTTCTTTCTGGTATAGAATTCATGCAAACTGACCTTTTGAGGGACCCTTACTAGTTATCTAATTCATTCTCCCAGCCAATAAAGATGTAATTCTCTAAAACTTCCATTACAGTATCTACTTGAATGTTTAATAGACAACTCAAATGTAACGTGTCAGCAACTGAATTCCAGACCTTCCTCTGCTTGTCTGTTCTTCTCATAGTCTTCAGGGACAGCTCCATTCTTCTTGCTCAAATGGAAAGCCTCAGGATCATCTTTGACTACTGTCTTTGTTTTGTATCCACATCCAGTTTTTCAGAAAATCCTTTTTGGCTCCACCTTACTAATATGTCCTCGGATAATAGCAGGGTGAGGATGTCAGGTAATTCCTTCCCACAGAATCAAGAAAAAAACAGCATAAAATTATTAAAAATGCCGTTTAAAGGCGTTAGAAAATGACCAGGTAGGCAACAACTAGGAAAGCATTCGTTGATGAAAAGCTGCTATTGTAGCTGGTAAAAACAGGCACTTTTTCTTTACAGATAAAAACTGGTGGCATTCTTGCATGGGCAGCAAAAACCTGCAGCTTTTCTTGAAGGAAGTGTTCTTTGATGCACAGATGTGTTTAGGTTTAATGTAGTTCCATTTGTCTGTTTTTGCCTTTGTTGTCTGTGTTTATGGTGACAAGTCCAATTGGAGATGAGCAGAGCCCAGACACCTGTGGGACAATAGCAGACGTTCTAGCAGACATGTAGTAGGCATCCCAGAAGATGAGAAGAGGAAGAGAAAAAAAGTAGAAAAAATTATTTGAAGAAATACTGCTAAAAAATTTTCTATGTTCGGTGAAAAACATTAACAGATCCAAGAAGTTCAACAAACCTTCAGTAGAATAAGCATACACAAACACAGAACCATACCTAGATACATTATCGTCAAACTGCAGAAAGACAAATATAAAAAGAAAATCTGAAAGGAAGCAAGAGAAAAATTAAACATCACAAACAGGGGAACAGTACACTTGGTGACTTGATTCTCTTATACACAGCAAAGACTAAAAGACATTGGAGTGACATATTTAAAGTCATGGGGAAAATCTCTGTCAAACAGTACTTTTATAGTCAGTGCAACTCTTCTTTCAAAGTAAAGGCAAAATGAAAACATTTCTAGATAAACAGATACTGAATTTGTTGTTAGCAGACCTGCACTCATATGGGATGCTAACAGAATTCCTTCAGGGTGAAGATAAATGACTCCAGAAGTAATCTGGATCCAAAGAAAGGAATGAAAGCACTTGGAAAATATGTGGGCTATATTTTCCCCTGTCTTCTTTTAATTTATTTAAACAAATGTGACTAAAGAAAAATGGAAACACTGTTGTGGCCTTTATAACATACATAGATGAGCTATGTATATATAAAACCATAGCACCAAGAGGAGGGCTGATGTGAAGTTCTTAAAATATTGTAGTGGATATAAATCAATATTAACTTGAAGTATATTGCAATAAAAGATGAGATAAGATTCATTTAAGTTCAACAGCAGGCAATAAATAGCTTAAGGTTTAGGGGAACTAAAATTGGCTGAACACAAAAGGGAGTGCAGCAAGAACAGAGGAACAGTAAAGATGGGACAAATAGAAAGCAAGTAGCAAAACAGCAGACCTAAACCTGATCATGACAGTACTTAGGTTACATGAGAAACAACTAAACAGTCAAAAAGCAGAGATTGTCAGACTGGATATAGCAAATGCCAATTAAGTGGTCTCATGGAAATGTTGATAGTAGAAACAGTAAAACACAGGTACTTGCAGGTTTACAACAGAAAATATGTGCAGTTGATTATATATTATCAGACAAAATAGATTGTCAAAAAGAAATATTACTAGAGGCAAAGAAGGACTTTTCATATGGATAACAGTTAATATTGCCCTAACAGTTATAAATGTATGGGCTCCTAACAACAGAGTTCTAAAATACATCAAATCAAACATTCAGAATTGAAAGGAGAAGTAGACAAATCTGTGATTATAGTTCAGGATTCAACACTCCTTGCAATAATTGAGGGAATAAATAGTTGGAAAATAATCAGGATATTTAGAAGCTTTTTAAAACCCTGTCAGTCGGCTGGGTGTAGTAGCTTATGCCTGTAATCCCAGGACTTTGGGAAGCTGAGGCAGGTGGATTCCTTGAGTTCAGGAGTTTAAGACCAACCTGGGCAACATAACAAAACCCCATCTCTACAAAGAATAGAAAAAATTAGTTGGGCATGGTGGCTTAAGCCTGTAGTCCCAGCTACTTAAGAGGCTGAGATGGGAGGATTGCTTGATCCTGGGAGGTTGAAGCTCCAGTGAGCTGTGATTGTGCCACTGTACTCCAGCCTGCGTGACAGAGCAACACCTGGTCTCAAAAGAAGCAAAACCGAAAATGAAACACACCAAAAAATACTGTCAGTCAACTTGACCTAATTACAATTAGAAATTACATTATTTTCAAGAAAACGTGGAATACTTACCAGAATAAACAATATGTTCAATAAATTTGGAAATACTAGGCAAGGCACAGTGGTACATACCTGTAATCTCAGCTACTCGGGAAGATGAGGCAGGAGGATCACTTAGGCTGTAAGTTCAAGACCAGTCTAGGCAATATAGTGAAACCGTCTTATCCCGTGTTTAAAAGAAAACCGAACTTTTATTTCAAAAATACTAAAAACACAGAGGCCATGTGTGTTGGCTCATATCTGTAATCTCAGCATTTTGGGTGGCTGAGGCAGGAGGATTGCTTGAGCCCAGGAGTTTGAGACCATAAGGAAACCCTGTCCCTGCAAAAACAGTATAAAAAGTTAGCTGGGTATTGTGGTATATGCCTGTAGTCCCAGCTACTTAGAGTGCTAAGGTGGGAAGATCATTTGAGCCTGGGAGGTGGAGGCTTCGTTGAGCTGTGATTGTGCCACTGCACTCCAGGCTGGGTGACAGAGCGAGATTGCTGACTCAAAGCAAAACAAAAAAGGAGCATTTCCTGACGCACAGAAATAACAGAAATCTAGGAAATGTCCAAATATTTAGAAATAATAAAGATCAAGTGCAAATCAATGAAATTTGAAATGGAGAAACAATAGTAAAAATATTAACAACTCAAATGCTGGTTCTTTGAAAAACTGATGAAATTGACAAATTTTTAGCTAGACTGATCAAGAATAAAGGAAAGAAAATGCAAATTACCAATATCAAGTACAAAAGAGACATCTCTACAAATCTCACAGATCTTGATAACAAGGGAATATTGGGAACAACTTTATGCCAACAAGTTTGATAACAACATTAAATGGAGAAATTCCTTGTAGAGAAGAAATGGAACAGACTCAAGAAGAAATAAAATTGTAGCTCATTATTAGGACAAGAAATTGAATTAGCTCTTGAAAATCTTCCTACCAAGAGGCATTCAGGCCCGGACGGTTTTACTGATGAATTTTATCAAACGTATAGTAAGAAATACTGCCTGTTCTATACAATGTTGTTCAGTTAGCAAAGGAAGAAGTAACACTTGCCAACTCATTTTATGAGGCTAGTATTACCCAGATATCAAAGTCAAAGGCATTCACAGAAGGGAAACTACAGACCAATATCCCACATAAAGAAACACAAAAATCCTTAACAAAACATTAATAGATTAAATCTTGCAGTATGTTAAAAGGAAAATTTGTGAGGTTTATTTCGGGAATGTAAAATCGGTTTAACCTCCAGCGGTAATTAATGTAAGGTAGGTCTCGAATCCAGTCACTTCTTTTTCGCTACTGCTATTGCCCTGCTCAAAGCTATCCCCGTTCTCTCTTGAATTGTTCTTTAGCCTTATTTCAGCACAGCGTCCAAACCTACTTGAAACATCTAAGTAAGATTATGTCCCTTAGCTTACAGCCCTCTCGTTTTCCGTATCCCACAAAATACAAGCCTAAGGCCTCAAAAGAAAGTGTCAGGCCTTATTCAGTCTGACTTTTTTTTTCAGGCATTGCATCTGAGTTGATTATCTCCCCATTGTGTCTGAAATCAGTTTGTTTTCCCCTTCTTGCTGCAGTTTGTATTTTGTGTTCTCCCTACTTTCCTGGGGCCTGACAGAATTGGAAGTGGTATCATTTGATGGCTTAGGTGGCTATGTATCTTTGTTGGGATATCTAGACTCTTCTGTTCTGGGTTCGTATGTGACTTACCCTAGTGATTTTGCTTCTTGGTTAGTCTCATATCCATACCCATACCCATGGAAAAATAGCCTCAGTCTTTATACTGCCTCACTCAATTCTTGCCTACTGTGGAAATTTCAGTGCAGAAGGGACAGAGATGGGCGTGCATGGGTGGGGGACTTTGATCTCTTTCCTCTGATTTATCTTTTCTTCCCCATTATACTTTCTTTTCCTCAGCTACCAGAAAAGGATAAGGCTGTGGCTGCTTTTCTCCCTGTTATTGTAATCTATTTGTCAGCTCACCTGTATGGCCCCTAGGTGATGGGGTCAGTTTAGGAGTGAGCTGTTAGGCCTCTGTTGTGCTCCAGAATGTTTTGTTTCTTTACCTAATGGCTGTGTTCCAAATTGTATCATATTAGGTTTCTTTCCTTGGTTGGATGTCCCGGGTGAAAAAAACTTTTTTCAACTGGTTTATTATGATTTTATCCCCCTCATTTTGTTGGTTATTGGGCAAGGTAAATTCAGAGGTGCAGCTTCTGTTGGCTTTTTAAACTCAGAAACCTTACTTAGTTGTGGCCAGGTGTGGTGGCTCACACGTGTAATCCCAGCACTTTAGGAGGCTGAGGTGAGCATATAGCTTGAGGTCAGGAGTTCAAGGCCAACCTGGTGAAACCACGTTTCTATTAAAAATACAAAATTAGACAGGTGTGGTGGTGTGCGCCTGTAATCCCAGCTAGTTAGGAAGCTGAGGCATGAGAATTGCTTGAACCTGGGAGGTGGAGGTTGCAGAGAACTGAGATTGTGCCACTATGCTCCAGCCAACCTGGGTGACAGAGCGAGACTTGGTCTGGAAAAGCCAAAAAACCTTAGTTGCTTATTTGCCTGTTTGTCTCACACTGATTGATGTTCCTGTTAGCTCATGAAGTGCTGGAATTATTTACATAGATACACAAACACATGTACACAGTAGATTCATGCAAATGAAATGTATATAGATATATGTGTTAAGTATTTGAACATATGTGTTTTTTTCTTAAGTAATTTGTTGAACAGGGAGCTAGCATGTACTTTGTATTTACCATAGTGCACAACACTAGATATACTAATGTATAGTAACTTTGCAGTGCATGCTTATAAATTAATTAAATCAAAGATGTATGTTTATTTGGCTCTTAAAGCATTGTTCCAATAATAGAGTAGAAAAATAAATGTTAAATTGGGTTTATTTTTTACTGAGATTCTTTTCTCTCTTTATCCATAATACAGGTACATCAAGAGAGTGTACACATGATTGAAGTCACAAGTAATTTGATTAATGAAACTCTAGCAAATCACCCTGAGTGGGCAAAGTAAGAATGTTGTTTTGAAAAAGAGGAGAGATGGATGACCTAGTTTCAGCATCTGTTTGCATGAAATGACCTTCCTTGATCCAGCTGCATTGGAAGATAAAAGATGGGGTTTGCCAGAGCTTTGATAAATATTGTCATTTTTGCAGAAGAATGTCATGTAATGCATAGGGTGGGAGGAAAATGCTCAGGATTTTAGGTACAATTTATGGTAAATGAAACCTTATGTTTTATAATTGAGGTTTACAGCATGTTTATAGTTTACAAAGCACGTTCGCCTGTCTTACGTCATTTGTTCCTCACAGTGACTGTGTGAAATAGATTGAAGAGATTATCCCTATTTTACACTTGAGGAAGGAAGATCAAAGGTTAAGGAACTTGAGATAATAATCCCCCAGTGGCAGAGTCATAACCACTGCTTCTGATCAACTGAAGGAAAGTTTCCACTATAATGTGGAAACTGTAACTCTTCAATTTTCTATATAATTTTAAAATTTATGTTATTTATTTATCTTTAAGAAATGAGGTCTCACCATGTTGTCCAGGCTGATCTTGAACTCCTGAGCTCAAGCAGTTCTCCGGCTTCAGCTTACCAATTAGCTGAGACTACAGGTGTGCACCACTATGCCCAGCTTTGTAATTCTTGGCATATTCCCATATGTATTATTTTTGAGGAAAGATAGGTGATTTGGCCCAGGGCCAAATTCAGCCATATCCTTTTGTATAAAAGCTTTAATGGAACATACCTATGTCTACTCATTTACATATCTTCTCTGGCTGTTTTGACGTTTCAAGGAAAACCAGAATTGAGTAGCTGTGGCAGAGGTTATATGTTCAGAGCCTAAAATATTTACTCTCTGGTCTTTTATAGAAAAAGTTTGTTAACTTCTGTTTTAGAGGATCTCTGTGTATGTGTTTAATTTGGCTTTTGGAAGAATTTTAAGTTTTTGTGGGTAATATTCAGCAGAGCTGTGCCATCCATCTAACTGAACTCGATGACACATTGTATGACCTGCTTTTTATTAACCTCAAGGCAGTTGTGAAGTCAGGAAATACTCTGCCAGTTTTAGGCTTATAAGTTGAGATTTAGCTTGATTTTTTCCTTTGCCTCTACTTTATTCTTTTATATACAGCCTGCTTAGGACATTACTTGAACTTGATTTAGAATAATACTTGAATTTTTTTTTTTTCTTGAGACAGGATCTCGCACTGTCACATAGGCAGGAGTACAGTGGCACAATCATGTCCCACTGCAAGCTTGGTCTCCTGAGCTCAGTCAGTCCTCCCACTTCAGTCTCCTGAGTAACTGGGACTACAGGCATGAGCCACTATACTTGGCTAATTTTTATATTTTTTGTAGGTGTTTCACCATGTTGCCTAGGCTATTCTTGAACTCCTGGGCTCAAGTGATGTTTCCTCCTCAGCCTCCCAAAGTGTTGTGATTACGGGTGTGAGCCACTGTGCCTGGCCTATTTGAATCTTCTTAAAAGAAGCATATTTCTTTTGAAATATAAATTGTGATATATTTATGCAGTGGAGTATTACATAGGATTTTAAAAAATGGACTAATGATACATGTACCAACTTGGATGACTCTCAAAATAAGTATGCTGACCAGGCATGGTGGCTCACGCCTATAATCTCAGCACTTCGGGAGGCTAAGGTGGGCGGATTACCTGAGGTCAGGAGTTTGAGACCAGCTTGGCCAACGTGGTGAAACCCCATCCCTACTAAAAATACAAAAATGAACTGGGTGAGGTGGCACACATCTGTAATCCCAGCTACTTGGGAGTCTGAGGCCCTAGAATTGCTTGAAACCATAAGACAGAGGTGGCAGTGAGCCACGATTGTGCCACTGCACTCCAGTCTGGGTGATAGAATAAGACTGTCTCAAAAAATAAAAAAAGTATGGTAAGTGAAAAAATTTCAGGCAAAAAATAGCCCAAATGATACAACTTCATTTATTTGAAGTTCTAGGAAATACAAACTAATCTGTAGTGACAGTAAGATTAATAGTTGCCTGTGGATTGGGCTGGAGCTCTAGGGAGGACATACATAGAGGTGTGGGGAAATTTTGGGGAGTAACAGATGTGTTTATTATCTTGATTAAGGATATAAGAAGAGAAGTAGAGTCACCAGATTTCATTGTAGAAGAGGCTTTTCATCTGCTTTGTGGAGAAAGATTGAAGGTATACAAGATCTGAGCCTTTCAGACAAATTAAAAGCTTCTAGAGTAAACTGGATGAGAAGTGACAAAGCCCTGAACTATAGACAGTTTCAGTGGAGGTGAACCGGAGGGACATTTATAAGGTCTTAAGGGGTTAGTTGGTGATTAACTGGATATAGGAGGAAGAAATCTAGCATAATTCATGTTTCTTGGTTTGGAAATCAGTGGGTGATGGTGGATTCACTGTGACAGGAAACGGAAGAGCGATTTGATAGGGAAACTAAATGACCTGTTTACCTGTTGAGTTGAGGTACCTGTGGTAAGTGGAGGCATCCAGTAGGCTGTTGGCTATGTAGGTATGGGTATTTTTTAACTATGAAGTTTAAAAAGAGGCAGTTGCTATGTAAGTCCAGGAATCAGATGAGAGATCTCGGTTGGATCTAGAGTTCTGGCAAGCATCAGCATAAAGAAAGAATGTATATAAGGTATGGAGAAGATACCTGAAAGTATGCCCTGTGGGTATCTTGAGCCTTTAAGGGTGAGCAAAAAACAACAGGTTATAAAGGAAAATGAGAATGGGACTATGAGAGAGGTAAGAGGAAAACAAAGGGAAGAGAACATTTGAGAAAGTAGTAGTGGTCAGCAACGTCAAATTGCTGCAGAAATTTGTAAGAGTGAAATTGGATATAGCAACTGCAAGAGCAGTTCATTTAATTGGTGTAGCAGAAGCCCATTAGATTGCAGTGTGTTGAGAAATTACTGGGAATGAGGAAGTAGAGAAAGCAGGTATAGACTGCTGTTTCCCAAGTTTGCCTATGAAATGTAGCTGGGAAGGACATATAGAGCATTATGTTTAATTTTTTATGATGGGGAAGCCTTGTTTATATACTCTAGGGAAAGAACTGGTAGAGTGGAAGGGGTGGTAAATATTAGGAGAGAGAGGTAATTCTTTTTTTTTTTTTTTTTTTTTTTTTTTTTTTTTGAGACAGAGTTTCGCTCTTGTTACCCAGGCTGGAGTGCAATGGCGCAATCTCGGCTCACCGCAACCTCCGCCTCCTGGGTTCAGGCAATTCTCCTGCCTCAGCCTCCTGAGTAGCTGGGATTACAGGCATGCACCACCATGCCCAGCTAATTTTTTGTATTTTTAGTAGAGACGGGGTTTCACCATGTTGGCCAGGATGGTCTCGATCTCTCGACCTCGTGATCCACCCGCCTCGGCCTCCCAAAGTGCTGGGATTACAGGCTTGAGCCACCGCGCCCGGCCCCCCGAGAGAGGTAATTCTTAATGCGTTTCTCTGAGGATGAAGCCTGAGATGAACCCATGGCACAAATGGAACAACTGGGGAAAGCAGGCCAGAGTGGGTATGGATATAAATACTGTGAGTTCAGTGGAGTAGGGAAGGTGGGAAATTAGGGGCCATGTATCTTTGAATTAAGATGTGAGGTCTTCTGTTCTCTGGCTCTTTGGATATAATACGTTTTGAAAGGAGAATGGGAAAAAGGAACCAACATGTATCAGGTATGGGATTTTAGGAAGGAGCCATCTGGGATCCAGGCAAGTGGATAGAACCTTTCATGGGATGATAGACCTTCCAAATGTTGTCCTCCAAGGCTCAGTCTCAGCCTTCACATCCAGAGGGCTCCCTTTCTTTGGGTCATTCTTCTATACTGGAAGTAAATGCGGAGCCCTTCTGTAGTGCTTTTGAATAGTATAGTACATTCTCTCTGCAACCGTATCCAAGGCACACACAATGTGAGCAGCCCCAGATCAGGTAGTAGAAGAAAGGTTTTTTTGTCTTTTGTTTGAAATTTTGAAGTAGCTGGGCGTGATACCTCATGCCTGTAACCCCAGCACTTTGGGAGGCCAAAGCAGATGGATCACAATGTCAGGAGTTCAAGACCAGGCTGGCCAACATGGTGAAACTCCATCTCTACGAAAAATACAAAAATTAGCTGGGCATAGTGACGGGCGTCTGTAGTCCCAGCTACTTGGGAGGCTGAGGCAGGAGAATCACTCGAACTGGGGAGGCGGAGGTTGCAGTGAGCTGAGATTCTGCCACTGCACTCTAGCCCGGGTGACAGAGCAAGACTCCATCTCAAAAAAACAAAACAAAACAAAACAAAACAAAAAACCCAAAAAACTAATCAGTTCTCTATATCTATAAAATCATTTTGAGAATGATGGGTAAATCCAGTCATGGAGTATGCAGCCTTTTGAGATTAGCTTTTTATTGCTTAGCATAATTCTCTTGAAGCTCATTCAAGATTTATGTAGTTTTATGTATCAAGTTTGTTCCTTTTTATTGCTGAGTAATGCTACGTTTAGGAAGGTTTTTTGTTTTTTTGTTTGAGACAAAGTCCAGGTTGGAGTGCAGTAGTGTGATCTGGGCTCACTGTAACCTTCACCTTCTAGGTTCAAGTGATTCTTGTGCCTCCCAAGTAGCTGGAATTACAGGCACGCATGCACAACCACGCCCAGCTAATTTTTGTGTTTTTAGTAAGAGACAGGATTTTACCATGTTGGCCAGGCTGGTCTTGAACTCCTAACCTCAAGTTAGGACCACTTGCCTCGGTCCCCTATAGGAAGGTTTTTTAAAGCTGCTTAGAGTTGGTGATTCATGGAAGGTCTGCTTATTTTGCAGCAGATAGGTGGGGATGGAAATAGAAATAGTAGGGGTGGGCATGAGTGGTTTCCTGCAACTCTTGGTTCTCCATAGATTGTGTCAGGAGGAGGGCAGTTGACCTTGTGGGGGATTCATGTAGATACCCCTAGTAGAGAAGATATAGTTAAGAATAAGTCCAGATGTGTTTTCTTCCAACTTGGTGTATGTTTTATATGGCTTGTGTAGTCCCTTGACTTCTGCTTGGTGTGCTCTGTGAGCTGGTGGATAAATTAGACAGATTACGATCATCTTAGTGGAGCTCTAAAGAAAATGAGGTTGAAGCACATCCTGATTCTTGTCTTCAGCATTTCTGTTAGCCTGGAGCTCATTTTCTGCTTTTCCCTGACTTGTCTCAAGCCTGTTGATTCATGCATCTCAGGACCCTCATTAGGAGATGGCACTGAAATGGTTCTCAGTTACACTTACCCTTTGCTTGGGAGAAATGCAGTAGGCTAAACTAAGTTTTAAAATCAGGGTTTTTAATCAGGGTTGTTCTCTTGGTAGGCCATACGTGATAGAGATTAACCTTTACCCAGGAAGGAGAGGGCAGAGCAGTCTAACCTGTAGGGCATTGGTTTCTGCTGTGGGATCCTTATTGGGTAAGTAGGGATTAGTGATAGGCTGAGGCAGTGTATCTCCAAGGACAGAACTCAGTTCAGGGGCTGTAGGGGTGGGTGTAAGGCAAGAGTATAGCCCAGCTAAGGTGGCTGTCGTGTTTCTGGCCCCATGTCTCCTGAGGGAGGCTTGGACTGAGCCAGTGCTTCTACCTTGTCCCCATACAGCTCCTCTCATTTGTTGCTCTTAGGAAGCCTGCGTGAGTACATTGGGAAAGTGTTTTCACAGTGGCCAGTAAGACATTTTCCCAGGCCCAGTAGACATTTGTGAATCATTAAGGATCTATCCAGATACCTCTATGAATCTTAACACTTTTTTTGAGACGGAGCCTTACTCTGCCACCCAGACTGGAATGCAGTGGCATGATCTCTGCTCACTGTAACCTTGGCCTCTGGATTCAAGTGATTGTCCTCCCTCAGCCTCCTGAGTAGCTGGGCCTAGGTGTGCGCCACTATACCCAGCTAATTTTTAGATTTTTAGTAGAAATGGGGTTTCACCATGTTGGCCAGGCTGGTCTCAAACTTCTGACTTCAGGTGATCCACCCCCCTCAGCCTCCCAAAATGATGGGATTACAGGCGTGAGCCACCGAACCCAGCCCATCTCCACACTTTTGAATAACACTATAGGATAGTGTTATCAATATAATATATCAATATAATATCCATTATAAGGTAGGTACCATATAAGGTATTTTCAATTACCATAATTAAAAATATTTTGGGAGGCCGAGGCAGGCGGATCACAAGGTCAAGAGATCCAGACCATCCTGGCCAACATGGGGAAACCCCATCTCTACTAAAAATATAAAAATTAGCTGGGTGTGGTGGTGTGCGCCTGTAGTTCCAGCTACTTAGGAGGCTGAGGCAGGAGAATTGCTTGAACCCGGGAAGCAGAGGTTGCAGTGAGCTGAGATCCCACCACTGCATTCCAGCCTGAGTGAGGCTCTGTCTCAAAAAAAGTGTTAAGATTCATAGAGGTATCTGGATAGATCCTTAATGATTCACAAATGTCTATTGGGCCTGGGAAAATGTCTTACTGGCCACTGTGTGTGGTGCCTGGCGACAGAGTGAGACTCTTGTCTCAAAAAAAAAAAAAAAATTAGGAATCCTTTCAAATTTTTGATGAATTTATAAATATTAGAGTAATTTAAAAGATACTTAAATTAATTTATCCCATATCACATTTCGGTTTAGTGATTCAGATTTTCTGTTTATATCCTTATACTATAAATTAATATGTTTGTGTCTCTAAAAGTTTAAAATTTTGTCTTACTTGCTGAGAAATTTGTTTTTTTTTTTAAATAGAGTCTTGCTTTTTTGCCCAGGCTGGAGGGCAGTGGCATGATCTTGGCTCATTGCAACCTCTGCCTCCTGGGCTCAAGTAATTCTTGTGCCTCAGCCTCCTGAGTAGACTACAGTTGTGTGCAACCATGCCCGGCTAATTTTTGTATTTTTTTAGTAGAGACTGGGTTTTGCCATGTTAGCCAGGCTGGTCTTGAACTCCTGGACTCAAATGATCTGCCCGCCTTGGCTTCCCAAAGTGCTGGGATTATAGGCATGAGCCAGCATGCTGGCCTTGCTGAGAAATATTTGAAAGGACTGAGGAATTTGCCAAAAAGTTTCACAGATACATTATTTGGAGTGTGGGACAAACTGGCTAATACTTAAGATTCAAACCACTGCTGATTTGATGGTCTACTTTTTAATTTATTCAAAGAGCTATTATTTTTTCTGGTTAAAGACCACTTTCCTAGGCACCGTGACTTTGTGGCTGTCAGTGGCGACTGGCTTCCTCTTTATGACCATCTTTCTCATACACAGCACTTACTTAAAGCTGCTGTTGAGTTAAGGATGTTGCACATGTGACTTTACCTAATTGACTCTTTTATGTTAGATTTGTAGGATGTGTCATTTTTGGGCCTCAGGAAAGTAAAGGACTAGCTTCTGCTTGCCTTCACCTTTTGGCTTCACTTCAGAATAGTTGAAATGAGGACTGTTAAATTTGTGAGTGTCAACATCGCTAGTGTATAATATTATAAGGAACAGTTTAGAGAATACATGAACATATTTTCTCTTGTGGAAAACATTAGGGTTGTGTAAAGGGTTCTTGATTAAAGTATATGGTGCAGCCTGCTTAATCCACAGGAGAATGAGGAGATCACCTTTCATTGCACAAGGAAAGCTTGTGGACTGTAGTTCCTTGCATAGTTGGAACTCTGTTCAGGAATTCTGTCTTTTAAAAGATCTTTAGTAGATAACCAAGTCGAGGATAATGATTCACCTTCTTCATTTCCTGCATTCTTTCTGATTTCTTCACTTCCTTAGATCAGTGATTCTAAAACTGTAGCATGCATCAGAATCACCTGCAGGGCTTTTTAAGGTACAGATCACTGGGTCCCAGTTGAATGTTCCTTTTTCAGTAGAACTGGGTTTGGGCCCCAGGTTTTTTGTTTTTAACAGGTTTCCAAAAAGTTCTGATGCTGCTGGTCTGTGGACCACACTTTGAAAACTCTCTCCCAGATGCTGAATATCCCAGTCCCATCAGTCCACTTTCTTTGATGCCAAATAAGGCAGATGATTTAGGACATGTGAGCAGAGAAATCATGCAGAGTAGAATGAAAGGGAGTTTGTGGGGAAAGTGGGTCTAAAAGCTAAGGAAAGACTGAGGCTGGGTGCAGTGGGTCACACCTGTAATCCCAGCATTTTGTGAGGCTGAGGCAGGTGGATCACTTGAGGTCAGGAGTTCGAGACCAGCCTAACGAACATGGCGAAAACCTGTCTCTACTAAAAATAAAAAATTAGCGGGTATGGTGGTGTATGCCTATAATCCCAGCTACTTGGGAGGCTGAGGCAGGAGAATCACTTGAACCTGGGAGATGGAAGTTGCAGTGAGCTGAGATCATGCCATTGCACTCCAGCCTGGGCAACGAGAGCAAAACTCCGTCTCAAAAAATAAAATAAATAAAATAAAAGCTAAAGAAAGACTGAAAGAATATCCTGAATGTTAGAGAGTTAGGCCAGTTAAACCTGGAAGTCCTGCTCATGATAGTTTGGTATCTTGTGTATCGATATATTTAATCCGTTATGGATTAAGTATATCAAGTTCAAAGCATTGTGTAGTACACTACACAGAAAGTGTACTTTTTTCATTTTTTTTCTTTGTTTACATTAGTTGGCTTCCTGAAGCTCAGGTAGTCCAAAGAGCCCTGAATTCTGCAGCTAACAATGTATATCAGTATGGACGAGAATGGATAACTCACAAGGTAAGGGAACAACCTATCTTTGTCTCTTTCTCTTTTCACGGTCTTTACTGGTGATTGCTTCTTGCTTTGATAAAACATAAGTAGAAATGCTATTCACAACATTAAATAGGCTTAAATAAACAGGTAAGCAACATAGAGTTAAATCTTTTGAAAGATCACATGGAATAGGGGAAATAAGTAGCCTGAACAATCTGAGAAGTTGGTCATCTAGTTTTTCAAGATAGATCTGATTAACTACTTGTGAGTTAGGACAGAGTGATCACTTGGTTTGGGTTGTCAAATAAGGCTTTGTGGAGAAAAAGGTATTAACACATATTAAATCTTGTCTGCTGATAACTATCTTTGGCAGTTTCCAGTTAGTTTCATTTAATCTTTTTTTTTTTTTCATTTACTCTTTCTAAAAAGCCTGCAGTATGAATTATTTTGCCTGCTTTGCAGATAAGGAAACAGGACTCAGCACGGCTGAGGCAATTCCCATTGGTCATGTAGTAAATTGCAGAGCTTGGTTTGCAACTGAAGCTTAGCTCCAAATGCTTTATTTCTACTGTAGCATGCTTGCAGTGTGGGCCCACAACTGGATTAAGTGCTTTGAGGTAGCAATTGAGATAGACCTTGAAGGAATGGCAGATCAAGGAAGAGTGGATTTTAAGAAGAGTATCTGTGTGAGCCAAGGTGCAGAGACAGGAATGTGCTTGAAGAGATGATCAAGATGCTGAGACAGGAGTGTGCTTGAGGAAGTGATCTTGACTGAAGTGGAGAGAGCTTTGTGAAGGGGAAATGAATGATAGAGGAAAAGACAGCACAGTTAAAGATTAGATTTCACAATGTGGATTTGGGATATTCTTTCCCTCCCTAGTATTGTGTATAGGAATAAAGGTAATTTATATTTTAATATACTGAAGTAATTAGGATTATGTAAGAATTGACAAGATTTGTTGCAGTGAGACTTGTGCCTAGAAAAAAAGCATTAGCATGTGATTCCATATTCAAAATTCAAAAACAAAATCTTAAAAAAATATTATGGAAGATACACTGTATACACATATATGGTAATTTAACATAAAGATGGAATCAGTGAAAAATCGAGAGAAAACTTAAGTTATTGATTTTCTTGAGTCTGTCCTCAGTAACTTAATGGCTACATGAGAAGTGTTTTAAAATAAGTGCAATGTAAGTATGTGGATGCAGATCCCAGAACTATCATAGAAGGAAGATCCAGCCATTGCAGAAGTCTTTTAGCCTTCTAGAAATATTTTATTTTGCTGAAAGCATAGCATTTAATTCTTGATGTATCTGTTTGGGAGGAATTTTTATTCTGGAATTCCTACCTTTTTGGGAAGAGGATAATGAGAGGGAACTTTGGGTAGTTGGAGAAATGTGCCTTAGATTTTAAAGATGTAAATTTTAAATTACTTAGAGAAAAGAAAGTTTGAAACTCTTTGCTCACAATTATAAAAGGGAAGGCAGCTGAGCAGTCATGGGCATTGATAACAAGAATTTTAACTATTTGCTATTCTGATTAGAAGACAGAGATAAGATCTAAAAAACAGTCGTTCCTTAGCTGATGAATGGATAAACCAATGGTATATTTATATAATGGAATATTATTCAGCTACAAAAAGGAATAAAGTACTGATAAATGCCACAGCATGAATTAACTTTGAAAACATTATGCTAAGTAAAAGAGGCTATTTTAAAAGACCATACATATATATTTTATATACATATTTTATATATATATGTTCGTGTATATATATATATATATATATATATGATTTCATTTATATGAAATGTCCAAAGAGGCAAATGTATAGAGACAGAAAGTAAAGTAGTGGTTTCCAGGAGTAGAGAGGATTGGGGACAAATGGGAGAGTGAGTGCTAATGGGCATGGGGTTTACTTTTGGGGTGATGAAAATGGTTTAAAATTGTGATTAATTTTAAAACAAAACAATTGAAGGATTTTTTAATGGTTATATAACTGAATATATTTTAAAAAACCATTGAATTGTGTTATATCTCAATAAAGTTGTTAAGAAAAACATTGAAACTGCAGGGATAGCTCAGTAGAGCATCAGATCTTATCCAGCTAACAATCATGTAAGAATTGGGTCATAAGAGCCTAAGTCTAGAGAGGGTTAAAGCTAGGAAAAAATGCCATGCCCACAAAAAGAGTTTTTTGGGATGTGTTTAGTTAAGAACAAAGAAGGTATCTGCCTGTCTGCTTCCAGCCTACTTTTCAGCCTAATGGCCTACGTGTCTTACATATTGTTTGTGGTTCTACCCAGACTTCCCAGTTTGCTTTCCTTGCTGAATGTCCTTGTTTGAGCTATCCCTTCTGCTTAGCATGCTCCTTCTGAGATTCTAAGAAAGGGACAGCAAGGGCTGGGCATGGTGGCTCACGCCTGTAATCCCAGCACTTTAGGAGGCTGAGGTGGGCAGATCACAAGGTCAAAAGATTGAGACCATCCTGACCAACATGGTGAAACTCCATCTCCACCAAAAATACAAAACTTAGTTGAACATGGTGGCACATGCCTGTAGTCTCAGCTACTTGGGAGGCTGAGGCAGGAGAATCGCTTGAATCCGGGAGGTAGAGGTTGCAGTGAGCTGAGATTGCACCACTGCACTCCAGCCTGGTGACAGAATGGACTCCATCTCAAAAAAACAAAACAAAAAAAAAAAAAAAGGAAAGCAATAAAGAAAGTAATGTGTTTCCTCTGTCTCTCTTTCCCATGACCAGAATGAAGAAAATGGCAGCCAGTTCATAAACATGCCCAGCATTGTTCTAAGTGCTGGGGGCGGGGGAAGTTGTCACCCTCCCTCTGACTCTCATGAGTGGAAACAGTTATTAAAGATGTTAACAATACGAATTTCAAGTGCTAGTAAGTGCTGTGATGAGGATAATCAGAGTAATATAATAGAGAGTGACTGACTTGGTTGATGTGTAAGACAGAATGGCCAGAGAGGGTCTCTGAGAAGGCAACATGAGAAGATAAGAATGTTGAGAAGGCAGCAATCAGTGAAGGCCTGTGAAAGAATGTTTCAAGCTGAGGGCATAACAAATTCAAAGTCTCTGAGATGATAGCAAGCTTGGTTGAAGGTCAGAAAGAAGGCCGGTGGCTGGAATAGGGAATGATGCAGTGAGACAAGCCAGAAGTCATGACAAGAAGGTGGAATTTTATTTAAGTTGTAAAGGTAAACATTATAGGAATGTAAAAAGACCTGTTTTAGAATGTCGAAAGCTCATTTTGGCTGCTTTATGGAGAAGTGGACAGGAAAGGAGAAGGCAGAAAGGCCAGGTAAAAGGTTATTATAGTCCAGGAGAAACATGTTAGTTACTTGTACTAGGTTTGTAGAAATGAAAATGGAGAACTGTGGTCAGATTTGAGGTACAGTTTTGGGATTATGCTAATAGGAGCTACTCATCGACTGGACATAAGAGTGTAAGGAAACAACAAAATTTTGGTTTGCCCAGCTAGAAGGACAGATGTACCACTTACTGAGGTAGAAAATACTTTGAGATGATCATGGGGTTTAGGTATCATGGGTAAATAATTAATTGGGTTTGTGACATATTAAATATGAGATACCTATTAGGTATTTAAATAGAGATGCCTTGAAGGCAATTCGACATATAAAGGTGGAGCTTAGGGGAGAGATCTGGATGGGCTGTAGATTCTGAGGTAAGAATCATATGCTGCCTATGGGATTAGATGAGATGGTCTCTTAGTTTGCTAGCACTGCCATAGCAAAGCACCATATTCTGGGTGGCTTAAACTGCAGAAATTTATTTACTCATATTCTGGAGGCTGGAAGTCTAAGATCAAGGTCTTGGCAGGGTTGATTTTCCAAGGCCTCTCTCCTTGCCTTGCAGGTCACCAGCTTCTCCCTTTGGGTTCATATGGCTTCCTGTGTCTGTTTATATCCTAATCTCCTCTTCTTAAAAGAACACCAATCATACTGCATTAGGGCCTACCCTTATGACCTCATTCTAACTTAATTACCTATTTTTAAATACAGTCACTTTGTGAAGTATTGGAGGTTGGGACTTCAGCATATGAATTTTGTGGGGACACGGTTCAGCCCGTAACATGGCCTAAAGGGAGAGTATACATAATAGACCCCTGGAGCACTGAGCTTTTGGTGGTATATGAGAAGTGAGCCAGCTGACCAAAGATGGCCCATGCGGTAGGAGTACCAACCTCTGTCATAGGAGCTTAGAGAAGAAAATGTTTCAAGAAAGACTTGATCAGCTGTGGCACAGGATCCTGGGATTTCATGCTAGCAAAGCACAGAGAATTACCACTGACTTTTGTTTTCCCCGAAAAATACATGAGCTTATTTACCTCAAGTTAGATGGCTCTCAAACAATGTTGTGACTACGCTTCATGCTTGGTTGCCTCTCATATGGAGAGGCGTATCAGGCACCACCAATAGCACTTGTGTTTCAGTGGTTGTGTGTGTGTGTGTGTCTGTGTGTGTGTGTGTGTGTGTGTGTGTGTGTAGAGGGAGACTTGCTCTGCTGGGGGGGGTGTGTGTGTGTGTGTGTTTGTCTGTCTGTCTGTCTGTGTGTGTAGAGGGAGTCTTGCTCTGCTGCCCAGGCTGGAGTACAGTGGTATGATCTCAGCTCACTGCATCATCCTCCTCTGGGGCTCAAGTGATCCTAACATTTCAGGCTCCAGAGTAGCTGGAACTACAGGCAGGCACCACCATGCCTGGCTAATTTTTTTATTTTTTGTAGAGATGAGGTTTCACCATGTTGCCCAGGTTGGTCTCAAACTTCTGTGCTTACATAGTCCACCCACCATGGCCTCCCAAAGTGCTATGATTATAAGACATGAGCCATAATGCCTGGCCAAATGGCTTTATTGTATTGAATATTTTGTTTTCAGTTTATGAATAAATCAATTAAATATAAAGGAACAAATTGAACAGATATATTTGAATTGAATATGTCTAGTAAGTGGTTCACATGTCTGTAAGGCCAGCATTAAATGGACAAAAAGTAAGGAAATAGATGTTGTAAACTAACATGGGAAAATGGTCACTCTTCATTACTAAAGAAGAAAATAATAATGGCTACATTTCACACCTATTAAATTCCCTAAAAATTAGCCAGTTAGTTCATAAGACTTTGAGGAAATTGGGTCATTTATGTAATTTTGTAAAGCATTAATTGGTATAATTCTTATTATAGAAGTCAGTTTACCAGTGCATAGCAAGAGCCATTAAAATGCTCATTTTTGGCTGGGTTTTGTAGTTCATGCCTGTAATTCTAGCTGGGAGGCCGAGGCAGGAGGATCACTTGAGCCCAGAAGTTTGAGACCAGCTTGGGCAACATAGTGAGACCTTGTCTCTATAAAAAATAAAAAAAATTAGCTGTGTGTGGTAAAATGCACCTATGATCCCAGCTACTCGGGAGTCTGAGGTGGCAGGATCTCTTGAGCTTGGGAGGTCCAGGCGTCAATGAGCCATGATCATGCCACTGCACTCCTGCCTGGATGACAGAGTGAGACCCTGTCTTGAAAAACAAAACAAAAACTCATTTTCTTTGGTTCCAGTACATTTATTTATGTCACAAGTAATACTGCAATGAACATCCATATGTATCCGTAAAAACTGTGTATAAGGATGTTCATTGCAGTGTACTCATACATTAAAAATTAGGATTCATGGCCAGGCACAGTGGCACTTTGGGAGGCCATGGTGGGCAGATCACTTGAGGTCAGGAGTTTAAGACCAACCTGGCCAACATGGTGAAACACCGTCTTTACTAAAAATACAAAAGTTAGCTGGGCATGGTGGCACATGCCTATAATTCCAGATACTCAGGAGGGTGACACAGGAGAATTGCTTGAACCTAGGAGGTAGAGGTTGCAATGAGAGCCAAAATTACGCCACTTCAGCCTGGGTGACAGAGCAAGACTCCATCTCACACACAAAAAAAAGAAAAGTAAAAAGAAAAAAAATAGTATTTATTATATATTCTTAGAGTGGGTAATGATAAGCTAATACCAGAACATAATGAACTGATATAAAAGTACTAAAGATGAAGGTTAGTGGTGAAGGCTAAAGATTAAATGCTTATAATGCAATAGAAAATACAGAATTCTAAATTTTCTTTATGTAAATAGGCAGAAAGTTGCAGAGGAAATAGAAAAATTGAAACAATTTGGCCGGGCGCCGTGACTCATGCCTGTAATCCCAGCACTTTGGGAGGCCGAGGCGGGTGGATCACGAGGTCAAGAGATCGAGACCATTCTGGTCAACATGGTGAAACCCCGTCTCTACTAAAAATACAAAAATCAGCTGGGCATGGTGGCGCACGCCTGTAGTCCCAGCTACTCGGGAGGCTGAGGCAGGAGAATTGCCTGAACCCAGGAGGCAGAGGTTGCGGTGAGCTGAGATCGCGCCATTGCACTCCAGCCTGGGTAACGAGGGAAACTCTTGTCTCCAAAAAAAAAAAAAAAAAAAATTGTAACAATTGTATTAAGGAAGTGGGCCTCCAAATCAGTGTTTGTCCTTTAGAAATTCTCTGGGTTTTTTTTTTTTTTTTTTTTTTGAGACCAGGTCTTACTCTGTTGCTCAGGCTGGAGCACGTTGGTGTGGTCATGGCTCACTGCAGCCTCAACCTCCTGGGCTCAGGTGATTCTCTCATCTCAGTCTCCCAAGTAGCTGGGAACCGCAGGCACGCACCACCACACCTGGTAACTTTTTTTAATTTTTTGTGGAGACGGGTTTTTGCCATGTTGCTCAGGCTGGTCTCAAACTCCTAGGTTCAAGCAATCTGCCCACCTCAGCTGCTGAAAATGTAAAAATTGTCTTTTATATTACCATATGGTTTTAATAATAACTAAGTGGGATAATATCTTATGATAGCCTTTCTCTAAGTTACGTTGTTTCAGTATACTTGATTTCCACAAACCCGAAGCCAGTCTGATCAATCATAAATGAGACTGAACATCTTTGGGCATGCAAGTGGAGGGAAGAATTTATGTTTATAGTCAGTGTCCTAAAATTTTACTTAAAATTCTGTGGTAATTCCTAGTAATAAAGATAAATGCAATATGAAACATGTATAATGGATGGGCAATGGGATTACAGGGGAGAGATTTTTCTCTGGACAGGTAAGATCACACAAGTCAGCAATTACGGCTTCATTTGTACCATTCTCTGATAGCATGAGGTAGCTTTCTTAGAGACCTGAGAATAGAGCAAAGAAAATAGAAGTAAAAAGATTTGAGAGGAAATTTACTGGGAATACTCAGGACTAGAGTTTAAGAAGATAACATAATATGGCTAGAGATAGTCTGGAACATTTTTGTTTGATTTGGAACAAATCTAAATACCCACCATATGTTAATATTACTGTATTGTTGCCTGAAATACTGTACCAGGTTATATCTGTGTTTTTTTCTAGCTCCATAAAATTCTAGGAGATAAGGTGAACAATACCGCTGTAATTGAAAAACAAGTACTAGAACTTTGGGACAGACTGTATCACTCTTGGTTTATAAAGGTAAGTTATTTTTGCTAAGGTTTTCTGTTGTAAACTAATAAAGCCCTTTTACTGACTCATTAACTAGATAGGATTGTATTTTATTCATGAAAATTTTAAAACTGCAAAACCTTAAGCCTCAGGTCATTAAAAGTCAGTGTGAGTTGATGGGTATTCTCCCTAGCAGAACCTGCCTATCACTGGTGCATTGGTATTCTAGACAGACGAATTAGTCTGTTGTCATCTAGTTTAGAGATCTTTCTTTTGGTTTTTATTCTTTTTTTTTGAGACAGGGTCAGGCTCTCACCCAGGCTGGAGTGCAGTGGTGTGATCCTGGCTTACTGTAACCTCTGCCTCTTGGGCTTGAGTGATCCTCCTGCCTCAGCCTCCCCAGAATTACAGGTGCATGCCACCGTGCTCAGTTAATTTTTTGTATTTTTTGTAGAGACGGGGTTTTGCCATGTTGCCTAAGCCATCCTGTACACTAGATCTGGCAGGGCCTGTGGGCTAGCAGGAGCTGTGCTGTGTATAGAGTGGGCAGAGTTGGTGGTGGTTTTTCTCAAAGTTGATGTAAGGAGAGCAAGTATATATATAAATCTTTTAATGTAGGATGGAGGGGGAGGAGGGCTGATTTTAAATTTGAATTTGTTCCTTAGTGACTTGTTTGGGATTATGTACTCTTTCTTTGGGATGAATTGAGGGAACGGTGTTAGTTTTTGTAGATTTCAAAGACTTGGGGGAAAAATATTCAGGGAATATCTAGGTGAGTATCGTAGATTTGATCCCATCTGCTGAAAAAACCAGATAATAAGAAAGGTGTATCTATTTCTTTTGCTAACTCTGGGGCTTGTACTTAAAGACAAATAGCTTTTACTGCCCCTCATACCTCATGAGCTTTATTTTACAGTAGAGGAAGGTCAGTGTTTTATAAGCATAGGTTTGTTAAGTGGTTAAGTATAGTTGTCCCCTAGTATTATGGGTAATTGGTTCTAAGACACCCTACTGGTACCTGGTACCAAAATCCAGGGATGCTTAAGTTCCTTGTACATAATGGCATATTTGTTGGCTGGGCATGGTGGCTCATGCCTGAAATCTGGCTGTTTGGGAGGCTGAGGTGGGAGGATCACATGAGGCTGGGAGCTTCAGACCAGCCTGGGCAACATAGTGAGACCCCCATCTCTACAAAAAATTAGCTGGGTGTGGTGGTGTGTGCCTGTAGTCTTAGCTACTCAGGAAGACTGAGGCAGGAGGATCACTAGAGCTCAGGAGTTGGAGGCTGCAGTGAGCTATGACCACACCATTGCACTCCAGTCTAGCCTGGTGACAGAGCAAGACCGTGTCTCTAAAAAAAGGAAGACAACATTCCTACCATCATGCCTGGCTAATTTTTATAAAGATGGGGTCTTACTATGTTGGTCTTGAACTCCTAGGCTCAAGTGATCTTCTTGCCTTGGCCTCCCAAAGTGCTAGGATTACAGGTGTGAGCCATTCTACCTGGCCCTTATCTCTTTCAAATTTAGTTATTCTTGTATGTCTGCCAGCGTCTTCCAGATAAACGAGTTCTGTTTACTGCCTTACTCTTGCTTGTTATATTCTTCTCTCCTCATTTTCCTTATCTTGTATGGAAAATTAAAAAGAAAGATGAGGAAAAAGCAAAGATCAAGAGAAAGGTAGAAGGCCCAAAAACTTAAAAAAGAAAAATGAAAGTCAATGCTGTGTTTAGTGTGTTGTTGTAGATACTGAGGAATAAGATGTGTTTGCAAATGTATTTAGGAGGGAAGCAGAGGAGCAAGACTTAGACAAGGTACCTGGAATATAAACAAAGGATTTTTATATTTCAGGTCTTTAAATGGAGTTCTTGGCTGATTTCTTACATAATGCAAAGTTGTTCTCCTTGGAGTACTTACTGAAGTGATTAAGGAGACCTGAAGCAAAATGGGACATTGATACTTTTTACTTTTTAGGTTAAAGGGGGAATTTCATGTCTGCATTGTTTTATTCTGTAGAACGTAACACACTCTGGAAGGCACAAAGGACAGAAGTTGCATGTCAGTCGTCAGAATAGCTGGCTGGGAGACATTCTGGACTGGCAGGATATCGCTTCCTTTGTTCACGAGAACATTGAGACATTTCTTTCGGTAAGAAATAGTATTTATAAAAACAAACTAATTGCAGTTTTCTTCATACACTTTGAGGCCTCAGTTATCCTGTTTTTAACGTAATGACATTTACAGGTTTGAGAACTCTGAATGGACTAGGGTGATGTTCAGAAGCCACAGGCCTCAGGTGTCACTCCCCTGGTATTTTCCCTGTGGTTGTAGAGTAGCTGAGAGATGCTGAGTCCTGAGGTATGTCAGTGATGCTGTGGGCTGCCAGATTCTCAGATAGGGATCCCCATCCTCCTGCTAGGATGACCAGGATGTCTCCAGCTGGACTACTAGGGAGGGACCTGCCTTTGTGGTGTGCGAAGATCTTGACCAGATGGAAATATGGTTCCAGTTACATTGGAGGGATGGAATGTGTTGAATGTGTAGCTTGTTACCATCCCACCTAACCGCCCACCATGCACCATCACCTCTGCAGTCTTACGCATTCCTAAGTACTAACTACTCTTCCTCATTCTGTAGCATATTTTGTGAGGTGTCCCTGGCATGTTGAATTTCACAGAGAGCAATTTTCTTGTGCATAAACTTGTTTATTTCATCAAGTGAACAAAAATTGAGATTTGCAGTGCTAAATTTTTTTAAATTAACTAATTAATGTTTTTGAGATGGAGTCTTGCTTCGTTGCCCAGGCTGGAGTGCAGTAGTGTAACCTCAGCTCACTGTAACCTGCGCTTCCTGGGCTCAAGGGATTCTCCTGCCTCAGCCTCCTGAGTAGCTGGGATTACAGGTGTGCACCACTGCACCTGGCAAATTTTCCAAGTCCTTCAGTGCTTTCTTATACCTCCTTTGGGGTTGTCTTACGACTCCTTTGGCCCCTAACCCTGTCCTTATGGTCACATTCTCTCCTTCTTCCTGATCACCTGATACAGCTAAAGCAGCTTGGAATTAAATCCAGAAATTCACGTCCTAACATTTTAATTTAATTTTATATTTTTATGTAATAGAGACAGGGTCTCGCTATATATTGCCCAGGCTGGTCTTAAACTCCTGGCCTCAAGTGATCCTCCTGCCTCAGCTTCCCAAAGTGCTGGGAATACAGGCATGAACCACTACACCTCGCTGTTTCTGTTTTATGTTTTTGATAATACCTTTCCTCTGTTTTGTCTAGTGCGGTGGTTCTCAAAACTTTTTGGTCTGGTTGCATGTTAGTTGTTCAGTAAATAATAACATTATGTGTGAATATGGATAATATACTTTTTGTTTGTGGAAAAATACTATTTTCTAAAACCAAAAAGATTTAGTGAGAAGGATAGCTTTCTTTTACATTTTTGCAAATCTGTTTCATGTCTGGATTCTCATGGATGCTCCTGCATTGAATCTGTTGGAATATGTTTGTTTTGATTGAAGTATTATGAAGAAAATTCAGCCTCACAAAGATATGTCACTGGGAAAGAGAGGTGTCTTTTAATAGCCTTTTCAGATAATTGTGGCTATTCTTTGATATTACCCAAAACTCAACAAGTAGTTTTTTTTTTTAAATTGAGACTGAGTCTTGCTCTGTCACCCAGGTAGGAGTGCAACGGCATGCTCTCGGCTTACTGCAACCTCTGCCTCCTGGGTTTGAGCAATTCTCATGCCTCAGCCTCCGGAGTAGCTGGGATTACAGACGTGCACCACCATGCCTTTCTTTCTTTCTTTTTTCTTTTTTGTATTTCTAGGAGAGACAGGGTTTTGCCATGTTACGCAGGCTGGTCTCAAACTCCTGAGCTCATGTAGTCCACCTGCCTCGACCTCCTAAAGTGCTGGGATTACAGGTGTGAGCAACTGTGCCTGGCCAAAAGCTCACATTTTGTTAACAAATACTATCAGTTGTTTTCTTTGTAGAGACAGGCTCACCTTATTCATCTTTGAGAAAATTTCTGCCAGATATCAATTCTGTCAGTCATTCTTTTATGCGGAAACGGTGATTAGTGAAAAGATTGACTAGTTCAACTCCCAATTCAATCATACGAGCACATTTTCCTCCAACGACTGTCTCACTTTGGTAAGCAGCAGAGGTGCTTTGTCACACAGAATATTAGGCACTAAAGGGTGGGTATTTAATACAATTAATAACTTTTACTGCTTCCTAAAGAACATTCTTAAGTGAAACTGGTGCTGAGTTTATGGTGAGGAAGAATACATTGAACACTAACTAGAACAGTTAGGTGCCATGCCTTGAGTCCTGCACAAGCCCCAGCAGTTTCACTTGTGATTGATTACTTTTCACCATCAGTGCAGATGTTAACACATTGAAAAGGTACATGTTTGAGTAAGGAAATAGTTTTGTCCTCACAGACACTGAAAAAGATCTTGGCAACTGTAGTTGTCCAGGGGCCACGCTTTGAGAACCACTCATCTGACTTTCTAAAGCGCTGTTAGTCAGATGTTGGGCCTTTGACATGGATTCCTTAAGTTTGAAAGCTTCTTTTCCGTTTTCTCTTTGTTTTCTTTTTCCCCTCGAGAAGTAGCTTCAGCTTGCCTTTGAAACCATGATGGAATTTTTTATTTCTTCTATCATACTAGTGGTATCAAACAGCTCTTTCTTCTGAACCATCCTTTTTTATTTATTTGAGAATATTAGCAATAAAATATTTAAAATGTCTGCTGCTGTTTGCTCTGCGTTTTTTTAGTTTGTTTTGCTTTCTCTTTTGTTACATGTCTGGTGATCCTTGGCAGTGTGTTCCTTTTTAAGAGTGCAACACTAAAAACAGCTGGAAGGTCCTTGCCAGTTCAGCCTGTAGAAAAGCCATGAGTCAGTCAGCAGGTTCCACCCAGTATCCTGGACCTTCCATTTGGCTCTTTAATGCTAGTGCATACACAAAATAGTGTGTCATCTAATAATACCTTTGAATGTTTGCTTTCCCCCAAATTCAGGTGTGTTAACTAAAAGTTATTGAATCCCTTTTTGTTTTGTTTTGTGCCTGTAGTTGTTGAATTTAAAAGCATCTGTTATTGATGAAGTGACGTAGTTGAATCACGTTAAGACAGATGATAAAGAAAAGTGATTAAATTTTATTAATTCCTATGGAAAGAGAATAGGCAGTTTTTGAAACTAAAATAACAGTTTTGCCATGTAGCCCTCCAAAAAGACAAGTAAAATCTCTGTATGCCTAAACATATTTATACATTGAGTAATGGATAGTTCAGGGAACAGATGGTTGTTTAGTAGTTTTTGTATCAAATACTGTGCTAGGTGCTTAATATTTTCTAATTTAAATCTCCCAGTGATTCTGCAAAACTAGTGTAATTGCCTTCATTTTAATAACAAAGAACAGGCTCAGAGGTGTTAAATAGTTAGCATGGTAAATAACAGTTGATATTCAAATTCAGTTCATCTTTCACTGGTACAGAGGCCAGACTTTTAATATAATATTGTGTTATCTTTCAAACTGTATTTCATTTTCTAGAGAACTGAACATTTCTTAGTCTCATACCTTTACATTTTTATTTGTTTTGTTAGGATTTTGGGGGGATATTGTTGTAAATAGGTGGCTTAAATTAAGTCTTGTTCATGAAATCTTCCCAGTGTATCTCAGAACACATTGAGGTTTTTCTACTTTCAAACTGCCTTTGCATTTATTGTTTTCACCCTTCTTTTGATAGCTGAACATATTTTACATTCTTTTTCCATTTTCGACACTTTAGTGTTTATACCCTATCTTCCAGACTAGATTTTAAGTTTTTGGAGGTAGAAGGAATCTCATTTATCACTACCTTAGAACTTAGTATGGTGTTAAGTCCTCAACTAAACTAATTAAGAGAAGCACATTAGGCACTAGTGCAGTGGTTTAACTGTGGCTTACTGCATCTTGGACCTCCTGGGCTCAAGCCATCCTTCTGTTTCATCCTTTTGCTTCTTCCTTCTGAGTAGTTGGAACTACAGGCATACACCACCACATCCAGCTGAGTTGTAAATTTTTTTTGTAGAGATGGGGTCTTCCTGTGTTGCACAGGCTGGTTTTGAACTCCTGAGCTCAAGCTATCCTTTCACCTTGCCCCTACCCCCCACAACGTGCTGGGATTACAGGCATGAGCCACAGTGCCCAGACAATAATTATTTTTGTATTTAGAAGCATAGTGGCTGAGTTGAAATGGTGTTTTGAGGTCACCGGACTCATCTCCCTTCCTTTTAGATGGATAAAGATTGGAACTAGAGAAGGATAGCAGAGCTCATGTGGACCATCAACCCCAGGCTCCCTCTGGACTCTCTTGAGGCAGCCAGAGGTGGCTCAGTTCTGCCAGGAAACGCATTTTCTCTTATTTAGACCTCTGTATCCCAGCAATATCCTGTTCCTGTTTTTCTAAACTATTACCTTTGAATCTCCTTCAGTGGCTCCATAGAAGGTGGGCTGATGGCTCTTAATAAGTACTAGGAAACCAAATTAATAATCAAAAAGTTGTTTGGTGAGCGGTGGACTCAGAGTAAAGGGATACAGAGCCACTGGAGGTGGCAAGGCCTTGTTGGTCAGTTCTTATCCACAGTAGAGATCACCTTTCATGACCACATTGCTTGGTTGGTTCAGTAAGTCTCTTGGGCTTTTCATATGTTTCATAATGAGCTCTTTTTGACGTTCTTCCAGTACTTACATTGCTAGTGTTGAATAAAGTGATACCAGACCTGCCTCATGTTTTCTACTTCTTAATTGGGATCCTTTTTTTTTTTTGAGACAGAGTCTCACTTTGTCACCCAGGCTGGAGTGCAGTGGCGTGATCTCAGCTCACTGCGACCTCTGCCTCCTAGGTTCAAGCAGTTTTCGTGCTTCAGCTGGCTGAGCAGCAGATTATAAGTGTATGCCACTACACTCAGCTAATCTTTTTGTATTGTTAGTAGAGATGGGGTTTCACCATGCTGACCAGGCTGGTTTCAAACTCCTGGCCTCAAGTGATCTGCTCGCCACAGTCTTCCGAAGTGCTGGGATTACAGGTGTGAGCCAGCATGCCCAGCCTGAGTTGGGATATATTTTGTCTGCATAAATCTGTTCTGTTTTCAGAGTTTCATGGACCTTGCTGTTATGCCTGCCTTTACCCATTTTCTCCTCTCTAGCCTGGCATATAAATTAAAACCACTTTACTTTAAGGATTTAGTTAATATTCTGGAGATGTTTTTTCCTCTATTTTCTCCAGTTGATTCTTTCAAGTAAGAAGGGTTACTTGATTGTTGTTGGAGACTACTGGTTTAAAATTAATTATTCAGTTAATTTCTTAAGAATTACCACAAGGCATTTTCTCTGAGTGCATGCCTGAGACTATTTAAAAAATTTTTTTTAATAAAAATTCCAAAATGACTGAAGCTGCAAAAAGAATGCTTGTCAGAATCACAAGGAAAGGCATTGTTGGCTTTTTTCTTGGAACCGATGGCATTGTTCATTCATTCTTTATCCCACGAGGTCAAGTAGTCAATCTTGCATATTTTTGTAGGCATTGTGAAACATTTTCAAGATTTTATGTGAGGAGTTTTTGTAAATGAAACCAGCCTGCCAGAGTTCTCTTATGAAACTGAGCCGAGGTTTGCAGGAAATGGTGAGGGCAACAAAATGTGCCTTTATAAATGGTACATCTGAAGTAGGAAAGGAATGAAGAAGACTTTTTATAGAACAGATGGAATAACTTGAACATATGACAAAAACCAGAACTGCTGTTTTGGAAAGGGCACCAAAACAAAAATCAGATGTTGTGAGTTCTGTCCCACAACATCTGAGCTCTAAGATCTAGTTCAGCTTATTAGCTTTGTGCCCTTGGTCAAGTTTTTTTAAAAAAAATTGTGAGCTTCAACTTATGTAACTACAAAATAGGGATAATATCATCTGCACTTCTTCTCTCATGGCATTGTTGTGAAGTTTATGGAAACATTTTAGAAATGGTAATGGAAGGCCTTTGGTAATGGTAATTTTCTGGTCATTTTGCTTCTGTGTTTTTCATTAAGACGAAGGATAGTCCACTTGGGAAGAATAGAACAGATACTGTAATAAGGGGATTTGAGATCGTAAATGAAATGTGCAGGTGTGCTATAGATATTGTACCTCCTTTATTAATACTTAATATATATGAAAAATCTTACTCCTGATATCTGGTTCTAGTAAATGTGTAGGTGACAAATCAGCTGAACTCAGTAGACCTCGACATACCGGTTATTGTCTCAAGAAAGATTTTTGGTCTCAGAGCACTGCTGTTGTCCCTGTCTGTTCATTGCTTTCATTGTGATTTAATGAAGTCATTGAGGTGATGCTTTCTTTATTTGTAGATAGGTCTAAGTTGGAAATGGCAAGGGTGGGGGCTATACAGCTAATAAAGCACATACTGAAATTTCATAGCCTGCACTTAAGATCCTACAAGATAAATACAACCACAGGTTGTACTCTAGCATATTCTCCTGTAGGTAAAGTCGTGACATGTGTCACATAATAATATCTCTGTTAACGATGGGTCACATAGACAATCATGGTCCCATAAGATTATAGTACTGTATTTTTACTGAACCTTTTTAGATGTTTAGATGTACAGATACCTGTGTTGTGGTTGCCTGTGATATTCAGCATAGTAACATGCTACAGAGTTTATAGTTTAGGAGCAGTAAGTTGTCCCTTATAGCCTATGTTGTGCCAGGCTTTACCATTAGGTTTGTATCAGTATACTCTATGACGTTTGCAGGATGAAATTGCCTAATGACACATTTCTCAGAATGTGTCTCCATCATTAAGTGATGCATTATTATATCCTCTGCTTGTTACTTCTACAAAGCTACAATGATTTTTTTTTTTTTTTTAGATGGAGTCTTGCTCTTGCTGCCCAGGCTAGAGTGCAGTGGTGCATCTTGGCTCACTGCAGCCTCCGCCTCCTGGGTTCAAGTGATTCTTTTGCCCCAGCCTCCCAAATAGCTGGGATTACAAGCATGCACCACCACGCTTGGCTAATTTTGTATTTTTAGTAGAGACAGGGTTTTATCTTGTTGGTCAGGCTGGTCTCCAACTCCTGACGTCAGGACATCTACCCGCATTGACCTCCTAAAGCACTGGGATTATAGGCATGAGCCACCACGCCCCACCAATTATATATAAAATGTTTTAATTCTGCTTTTTAAAATTAGCATTATATTGTAAAGTATTTTTTCACGTTATAATAGAAATGTTTTTAATGGCTGTCTGTATTATTTGATGTGGATTCACCATTTTCTTACTATTGATTATATGACTATTTGGGTCGTTCTTTTTTTTTTTTAATTTTCTTTTGAAATAATCCTCAGTTCTTAGCTTTTCAGTTCATGGTACTAAAACATTGTATTAAAAGCATACTAGATGGCTGTAGACACTTTTTTCATCAGGATTGGTTCTTATATCCAGCTTTCTCTCCTCATCAGATCTTGGAGTCTTTGTGGGTTGTTATGAGCCGAAATGTGAGTCTGCTGTTCACCACTGTCACTACGCTCCTGACCATCCTCTTCTACAGTGGGACGGCCCTTCTCAATTTTGTACTCTCTCTGGTATGTCCACATAGATAAGTATACATCCCATTTCCTTCCCAGTTGAAGCACATTTCTGGTTTCATTTGCAGTTGCAGATATCTGTCTTCCTGTAGTTTCCAAATACGATTTTTTAGGAGATACTGTCCTTTGTTTTGCAGATAATTTTCCTGACCACACTATTTTATCTGTTAAGTTCCAGTGATGAGTACTACAAGCCAGTGAAGTGGGTGATAAGCCTGACTCCACTATCTCAGCCAGGTCCTTCTTCTAATATTATTGGCCAGTCTGTGGAAGAAGCTATCAGGTAGGGATAAGGTTTATGCTATTTTTATTTCTCCCAGAAATTTTTTCCATAATAAGCCTATTTTTTGTCTGAGCATCCTAATAATATTCAGTGTGAAACTAGTGAAGGACTCTGGTATTTTCAAGGTTTGTATCTCATTTTGAGAGGATAAATATGAACAGTGCAGTTGTTAATAAGAAAAATATTCAGGCCATGTACAGTGGTTCATGCCTGTAATTCCAACAACTCAGATTGCTTGAGGCAGAAGGATCGCTTGAGGCCAGGAGTCTGACATCAGTCTGGACAACATAGTGAGACCTTGTCTCTACACACACACACACACACAAAAATTGATTATCTGGACTTGGTGGCATACACCTGTAATCCCAGCTGCTTGGGAGGGTGAGGCCAGAGGCTCACTTAAGTCTAGGAGCTTGAGGTTACAGTGATCTGTGATCATACCACTGCGCCCCAGGAGCTTTGGTGGCAGAGCAACACCCTATTTCTTTTTTTCTTTTTTTTTTTTTTTTTTTTTTTTTGGAGATGGATTGCAGTGGTGTGATCTCGGCTCACTACAGCCTCTGCCTCCAGAGTTCAAGCAATTCTCCTGCCTCAGCTTCCCAAGTAGCTGGGACTACAGGTGTGCACCACCACACCCAGCTAATTTTTGTATTTTTAGTAGAGACAAAGTTTCACCATGTTGGCCAGGCTGGTCTTGAACTCCTGACCTTAAGTGATCTGCCCCCCACAAAATACTGGAATTTACATGCGTGAGCCACCATGCCCGGCCAAGACCCTGTTTCTTAAAAAAAAAAAAGACCGAGCACAGTGGCTCACACCTGTCATCCCAGCATTTGGGGAGGCTGAGGCAGGAGGATTGCTTGAGCTCAGGAACTTGAGACCAGCTGGGCAGCATAGCAAGACCTTGTGGCTACTAAAAATATAAAGGATTAGCCAGGCATGGTGGTATGCACCTGTAGTCTCAGCTACTTAAGAGGCTGACATGGTAGGATTGCTTGAGCCTGGAAGTTAGAGGCTGCAGTGAACATGGTCACACCACTGCCTAGCCTAGGCAACAGAGTAATATCCTGTCTCAAAAACAAAACAAAAATTAAAAATTCAAAGCAGTTTTGATAACCTCCTCTTAAATGTGTGATTTACAAAGATGTAATTGTCTATCTCCATCAGCTTTCCATCAGCAGGATCTTAAACTAGCTCTTAGCATCGTGTCACTTGCTTAGGAGAACCCCCACTTCCACCACCCCCATCTCCTACTTCTTTCAGAACTCTCTGCTGTCACGAGTTCTAGCTTTGCTCCAGAAGGAGAGTAGGTGGCCTTCCTGTTTCTCCTTCTATCCTACAGCCAAGCTGTGCCCTCTGCAAGGGGTAGATTGGGTACTGGAAATGCAGAATTGTTGGTTATCTGTAAGTCATAGGCTCTGTATGCACTGCACGTTCTGGTCAGAAACTTTCATCATGACTTCTGGCATCCGTGTATTTACAGACTTGATTTCTGAATGCACTTCTTCAACTTTTCATCCCCGTAAGCTTTTTCCAGGTCACGGCTCTTGGATTCCTTTATCTTTTCCTCTTCATCATTTCTGGTAGGGAGGGCCCTTTAGGGAGGAGCATGCCTCTCTCAGCCCCTCCTCCAACCCTTGTCCTCATTGCTCATTAACAAGACTCAAATACATTTTTACTTCTTAGGAATTGGTCTCAAATTAAACCCTCCTATTGGCCATTAGAGCTCTTTTTTCTAATATGTTGTTGACCAGGTGGTCTTAAGCATCTCGAGTAGTGAATCTTTGGCTGGCATTTCTGTTTCCACATGCTTTTAATAAATACCATTGTCTGGAACTAGTCTTCCACAGAAATCTTGTTTTTTTTTTTTCTCTGTCTGATAATTGGATCTGACTGATACTGGTTTATTTTTTCGATGTATTCATGTAATAGCTAGGGAGAATCTCACTTTGATTGTTAGAAAAACGTCAGTTACATTCAAACAGGATGCATGCTCCTGAAAATATAATGTATGTAGAAACTTTGCTAAGTTCTCTCCCTTTTTCCTACTAGCAAGGCCTGGGTAAGGTCTTCACCAATACTTTTTTCCTTGATTGGCTGTCAAGTGGGATTCTTAAAAAAAATGCTCTTAACATCTGTATAGTGCCCTCAGGTATCCGCACGGGGGCAATCTGTAAAGATTCCAGATTTGGGAGTATTTTATCCAGTGTAACAGCATTTGGAGTTAAGCTGTTTTGAGGGAAGTACCAGCTATAGCTTCGCTCTTAAGTCCTATGTGATCATTGGCTATCATCTTTACTGAATAAATGAAATGACAAAAATTCTAGCAATAGATTATCTTTTCTTTATCTAGGTGATATTTTTCTGACTCAAAAAAACTTCTGCAAATGCTCTACCAAAAAGGAAAGCTAACCTTTTATCTTCCCAATAGGTTAAAGCTATTGGAGCAGCCATATCAAAGGCTGGTAGGAATTCTCCAGTCAGTGTGGCTTATGCCAAGCCTTGCAGAAAAATATCTACCTTGTTCATAAAGAACTTCAAGAAAGGTGATACTTCCATTTTCCTCAAGTAACCTTCACTGTTACTCTTATTCTTGGAAAAATATTTCTATTTTCAAATTCACAGCATTTGAGTTTTCTTTTGTTCTGCCTTCTTAGAGCAGACCATCCTCTAAATGTCTGTCATTGAGTCACCTTTTTCCATAGCAAATATGCCACCTTTTTTTGTTTTAAACTTAATTCCTAGATGTCGTGTTTGCCAGTCAGTGGTAAGTAAAGCTGTGAGTCACACCTACGTTCAACTGATTGAAAACACATATTCTGTTACACTATGATGCCTTCTTTCAGGAGGAGCTGAGATCATGAGTTACATTTTTGGACTTAAGAGGGTGGGACTTTGGCTGGGTGCAGTGGCTAACAACACTTGTAATCCCAGCACTTTGGGAGGCTGAGGTGGGTGGATCACCTGAGGTCAGGAGTTCGAGACCAGCTGGCCAACATGGTGAAACCCTGTCTCTACTAAAAATACAAAAATTAGCTGAGTGTGAAGGCCGGGGCCTGTAATCCTGGCTACTTTGGCGGCTGAGACAGGAGAATTGCTTGAACCCAGGAGGCGGAGGTTGCAGTGAGACAAGATCGCGTCACTACACTCCAGTCTGGGCGACAAAGCGAGACTCCATCTCAAAAAAAAAAAAAAAAAAAAAAAAAAAAAGGCAGAGTGGGACTTAGAAATTCAGGTCTTTGTCTCCAGAGAGAATTTGAGTTTAGAAAGAGGTCTGTCATCTACAGGGATATGAGGAAATCCGTCTTTTATAAATTAGACTTACCTTCTTGGGAGTGCACACACTAATTATATATTAGTAGTAGCTCATGTCTTGGCTCCAAAGTATACTGGGATTTAAAAACCATTTGTTTTTTTATCACCTTATTTTAAATACAGAAAAAATTTTTAACGACCTTTGGTACCAGAACTATAATCTAAAGCAGGCGTCCCCAAACTACGGCCCACGGGCTGCATGAGGCCCCCTGAGGCCATTTATCCGGCCCCCCGCCGCACTTCAGGAAGGGGCACCTCTTTCATTGGTGGTCAGTGAGAGGAGCATAGTATGTGGCGGCCCTCCAACGGTCTGAGGGACAGTGAACTGGCCCCCTGTGTAAAAAGTTTGAGGACGCCTGATCTAAAGGTTCTCAGAATTGATAGATTTTTATGAGTCTGATAAATATGGTACAGACTAAAGACTAAAGAACAGTTTATGGCCTGAGCCATTTTTCTAACCAAAGCTATATCAAGTTATGTAAATTGAAGGCTTTAATTCAAGGTGAGTTTTTTGCAGTTTAAGTTCTTAGGGCTGTTTCTTTACTAGCTCAATTTCAAGACATAAAATGTACAGATTCTATAGAGAGTCCTCTGAAGAGCTTTCTCCTCTGGAGAAGATGATAGTGAATTCTGTTTCTAAGAGATCCTGTTGGATTTTTTATCCTGAAGGTTTGTGTTGAAGAGGCAATATGTTTCTTCATGGAAAAAGATTGTGAGGGAAAAAAATAAATGGTTATGATTTATAATTTATAAATGATTATGAAAACATAACATCCTCAGAGTACAGTTTAGGCTACAAATATCAGTGATACCAACTTTTATAAGCATCAGTCGTTAATCATCATCCATGTTGCGGCTAAGTGGAAATCATTACATTCATTTATATGATCTGCGAATAAGTAAAAAGTGGAATTTAAATTGAGGGTTAATTGCATGACCAGACATTGAAAGTGTCTGTTTTTGAAGCTTTGCCTTCCAAAATATGTGGCTTCCTTATGATCACAATCTCATTGACGTTTTGAACCTTAATCATTGTTTTGATTCTGAATAAGTATTCTTCTCAGTTGAATACATTTGCAGTTGGGTTTTCATTTCATGAAATTTTGAGTCAGTGGCATGCATCCTTTATCCCCAGACCATTTTCCTCTCTTTAGCAGCATGTTGTCTCCTGAATGTGTACATCACACCCTTCTTCCCCGATGCTCCCATTCTGCTTGCTCTGGTGGAGATATTGCACATTACTAAGTTGCATGTTGTCACGGCCTCAATGCAATTTAGTGTGTGTGATATTTTCACATGAGTGCATGCACACGGGTATGGCTCTTGCTTGCTGGGATTACAGCTTTTCAGTGCCAGTGGGTGGGCATCCTGTTGAATTAGATAAGAGAATGTGTATGTCATGTGATTCACATTTGGAAAGTGAACATGCTTCCCACCTGTACCTCTCAGTTTTGGAGAATTAAAAGTATTTGGATTAAAAAAGGTCAGCATTGATCATTTAGTAAATCACTGTTTCCATTTTTTATGTTGAGCAATTGAGCAAATTAAATATTTAGTACAAATTCTCATTGATTTGAGAATATAAACAATATTTAAATGTGTAAGGAAGAATATAAAGCTGTAAGAAAAGAAAATGTGTTTTTATTTATTTAAAGAAATCTCTCCCAACACTGAAATGGACAAGC